TTCTCACATCTCATATTCATTCATTACAATTATATACCCTCCCTACATGTTCACATCCATCTTCTCCAAGCGCTAACCGCTGATCCTTTTCTTGTGCTCCCTTGGCTTGCCGCGTCCTTCGAGGTTGATGATGTTTAGGGAAGTCGATGTTTGAGTGTACGGTAACCTTTATGCGGGTCCACCAATCAGAAGCAGGAAAAAGGTGCAAGATGTTACTCGACTGCTCGCATTGCATTTTTAATTGTTGATCCATGCATTTTTTGCAGATGGGATGGGTGTACAACAATAAGACATACATACTTCAATTGATATTTCTACAACAACATTAATTCCTCCATTCTCTTATGAGCGTCGCCATCTCATCTCATGTTCGAGAAATATTTGATTGATATATTACTGGAAAGTCAAATCGTGTCTTGAAAACAACTTCACCCTTTATATTTCAAGAGCAAGAAAAAAAAGGTACTAGGGATTTAATCCTAGACACTGCTGGTAACCTTTACTCTCCGACTTTTCCAAGCTCCATCCATCCATCCGTTCATCAATCCATCATATCATATTACTTTAACAAGCCAACAATCTCAAGATTCAACATGGAACCCCCTACATATTCCACGCGTTCTAAGCGTAAATCTTCGGAATTAGAACCCAATTCACCACCCCTTTCCAAAAAATCACGAACATCACTTGATCTTCCACCTTCTTCTCCATTGTCTTCACCTTCTTCCACGTCAGCTGACCCCGTCTTGGCTCAATGTTCAATGGACTCTGAAAATCTTGATCTCGATGCCAACGTACCTCTTCGAGGCGGGTTTCGCGGGAGAGGTCGTGGACGCGGTCGAATTCGTGGTGGAGGGAGAGTTGGAAGAAATGGGAATGCGAAAATCCCCGTTGCGAGGGCGGGTGGTGTAGAGATTCTGGCGGGTGTGGCGGGCGGAAAAGCTACTCGTGGACGAGGTGGCCATCGAGTGAAAAAATCAAGTAATGCGAGGATACAGAGTTTGTATCATCGGAAACAATTGCTGAAAACTCAGTATAAACAGGTGGCGTTGTTGCAGCGGGTCGCCCTGGATGTTATCTCAGATAAATCTTTACAGGCTATGAGCGAGGATCCAAAGTACCATGAGACGTTGCCAGAATATCAGATTGTCATGGATCAATTGGCTGAGAGATATGAAGAGAGAGTTGCGCTGTTGAAAGAGCAACGTAGGATTCAATTGGAATATGCAAAGAAGCAGAGGCAGTTTGGAGAGGATTACACTCGTGGGGTCTATGAGGTATGTCATTCTTTTTTTCTTTTCATTATCATTAACATTGTTAACACGTGTATAGACACGAGTAGAATTGATTCAAGAGAAATATGATTTAATGATCAAGAGGAGACTTATTGAAGAATATCAACAAATGGAAGTTCGATATGGTGCTGATAGTCCTTCTCAGCATGATGTAAGTCAAGGAGACATATTTATACCATCTTCCATTAACATTTACCAGTTTGATCATTCACATATCAAGAGAATTCCCGAAGAGACTTTTATTCACCCTGCTGATGCATGGGTCAATGGTGGTCGTGCTGCACAGCTTGCTGCTGAAGCGGAGAAAGAGAAAGGGAAAAAGCGGGGCGGTCGTGGAAAGAAATCCACAAAGTTACCTGCATCCCCATTCAAACCATTGGATATCATGATGCCGGATGATAGTGAAGTTGCACCCAAGAAAACGGCTTTGTATCAACCTGCGACTTCATTGTCTCTTGCCACTACTGTGGACGGAGATTCTGCCGCTCCCACCCCAGCCGAGTTGACCGAACAAGAAGATGCAGATGAGCTCGAAACTGATAAGTTTGGAGTTTACATACCTAACAAAGCAAGACCTAGAAATGGCGATCCACCAAACAATCGTATAGTGGTTGAACCTCCATTTACTTTCGATCCAGATGAAATAGGTATCCGTCATCACCATTACAAAAAGTACAACAAGAACGATCTTCCTACATTCATTGGAATGGATCCTTCTCCCCAACCAAAGACTTTTCATTATGATCCGTGGGTGAGAAATCATCATTCTACGAACAATCGACCAGAAGACTTGGATCAAACAATAGTCGAGACTCATAAATTACATCCGACTTTGGGCTTACCTGTGAAGGGGTCTATAAATCCTACACTTACTACAAGGAGTGATTGGAGTAAGCCTGTAGCAGAGACTAATCCTGTTGTCTTCGTTGTCGAAACTCAAGATGAAGAATCACTCAAGCCAAGATTTGAGACTTCTCGATCCGCATGGATGGCACGTACCGAAAGGGAATTTTCGGATCTTGGCGATCAGCTCAAGATGGCTGAATCATTAGAAGCGATTGGACTTCGTGATCCTATCCTTCGTCCGATCGAAAAGAAGATCGAACCTCAAATTATTGGCAAGATTAGCGACGATCTGATGGAAGCTGTATCGGAGGCGGTAAATGTCTTAAACAAGCCCGTCCCTCCAACGACATCCTCAATCAGAGCAACGTCAACAGCTCCTCCAACTTCAATACCTGGAACACCTGCGCCTGCACAAAGAACGCAAGGTTATGATCCAGTCCGTGATACTGGATATTCTCCTCATTTACGTCGATCTCCAGTCAGAACTTTCAACAATAAAAGCTTAGATATCCTCGCCAATGCAGCCGAATTTCATGGAACGTCCCTACCTCGCGGGGGATTACCACAACCAATCATTCCAGCTCCAAGGCCAATGCAACAAATCCAATACACTTTTTCCCAACCAGAATTTTATAGACAGCCTCCAGCTTTTGTACCTCCACCCCCACATATGACTCTTCCACCACCTTTACCTATGACTCTCCCCCCTCCTCCTCAACCGCTTCAGCAACAAACTCAATTCTTTCAATATGCGGGCCCTCCCCAAGCTCAAGGTGGTCCTCATAATAAGTACAAAGAGATTCTTCCTGCACCACCACAACCACAAAGACGTGTGCCGCCGCCTTCGTTACCTGTGCCGCGAAGTAACGGATTTAATCCATTTGTAAATGGGACAGGGTATGGAAATGGTTCGGGAAGGGGACCTTGAGATGATGAAATGCCTAGAAGCGTATCCACAAGAGAACAAACTGCATAATCTTGGATATACAGTTTTGAGTGCTCATTCATATCACGCGCTTCCATTCTACCTCATTTGAAAATCCACAAGCGGTTTCTTATAGTGGTGCATTTATTTTTCATAATTTTTTCTTCCTTCTCTGTATCAACAAATCAAAAAAATTCATCATATTTTCAGGTTCTAAAATGAAAAGGGCGCAAAGTTTGGTTTTCGGAGTCTTTTCGTCGGTCGTATATATATTCATGAGTTTTATCTTGAGAATTAAGAAATTGGAATTGGATTGGTTGGTAATGAAATAATTTTAAATTTTATTGGGCGGGATGCAGTTATAAAAGTATTTTGGGGGTTTTTGGTTTCTTGACTCGTTTGGAGGATGGAGTTTTGGATGAGGGGAATGGGGGGTGGAAGACGGGGTTTTAGTGTTTGTTTTAGAGTAGGAGTAGAAAATGGAAGCCTTTTCTTCTTCTTTGTCTTGAGATTTTGAGAAGGAGCGGGGGGTGAGAAGGAGGGTTATGTAGGTTTTGTAGATGGGGATGTGGATTTGTATGTGTATGTTTATGTGAATGTTTTTATATATGAAATTGGTATTTGACTTTATTTTTGTAGGGGGAAAAAGATGAAAATGGGATAGGTACAAGGAAACGAGATAATCTAGTTGATTTGTTTGGAAATTTTCGGGATTGGGTTTCTCATTAGTGTGCGATGAAGATGATTTATTGCTATGGCGGATTTTGGGTTTGTTGTGTTGGTGAGAGAGGTGAGAGGTGAGAGGTGAGAGGTGAGAGGTGAGAGGTGAGAGGTGAGAGGTGAGAGGTGAGAGGTGAGAGGTGAGAGGTGAGAGGTGAGAGGTGAGAGGTGAGAGGTGAGAGGTGAGAGGTGAGAGGTGAGAGGTGAGAGGTGAGAGGTGAGAGGTGGAGGGCTGGGCTTGATGTAATGGATTGTGGGTGGGAGAGGAGGTGGATGGGATTGGGGAGAGAGGGAGAGAGGGAGAGAGTGATACGAATCATCTCAATGAATGTATATATATATATATATGCTATATGTAGGTACTTGAGGAAAAAATGAATTGGTTTTGATGGATGGGGTGGTGTTGAGAATTCTTGTGGGTTTCAAATATTTTGCGTTATGAGTCCGACTTTTGGATTGTAGATTGGAGATTGGAGATTGGAAGTTGGAAATAGGAAATAGTGCTTCCAACTCATTACATATCCTGAGGTAAGAGGGTTTAGATTTCGTGGATTTCGTGGATTTCGTGGATTTCCTGGGTTAGAGATTGGAGATTGGGAGCTTAGTTTGAAGGACAGGGAGATTTTAAAGGAGGGGGGGAAAGATACAAAAAAATTAGTTTGTTAGGTAGATATATTAGATGGATGTGTTATTGAACTCTTTGTTCTTATGTGATTGATTGGTTGAATGTTTTGATTCTATTCTATTTACCTCATTTCTATAGAATTGAACTGGATGTAATTTCCTGTTTTCGCTTCACTTCGCTTTAAATTGAGATCCGGATGCAGATATGGAATTTGGAAGGAGTGATTTGCAGACTGTGATATCTTCACTCGTTTTAAAGATTTGTGGAAGTTGGAGTGTGGTGATATATTGCTCTGGAATTATTTTCTATAGTAAGGGAAGTTGAGAAAGAGCGAGGTAATGTATCTAATTAATCTATAGTCAGGGAAAGAGTAGACAGTATTAGCCTCATAAGGTACAGATTGTTTTTCAGTAAATAGATGCCTGTTACTTCTAAAACATTCCAAAGGGAGATGAAAATTTGAAGACCGACCGATTTGCATTTGTAAATCTGAATATTGACTTACTATCTGTTTAATCCTTATTGCGTTCGTACCCAGATTATTACCAGAGCAGATACGATACCACTGTTCGTTATAGCATCTGCAATCATGGTAAATAATCTAACACCAAACAACCTGCGAGATCTTTTGCTAATTTTCTTGGAAAGGCTAACATCAACTATGGACCACAAATTTATCTTCAAAATTATGCATCCAACCCTCATCATCATAACCCCGGAGCGCCCTGCGCTTGGGAGACCACCGAGAGTTATCAAAGGAAATGGTCATTTCCAGCCGTTCGCATTCTCCATCGTGTCCCAGAAGTGTGTCCTGCGGGTGAACATTGCAATGACGGAACGATAGCTTGGGAGACCTGCACACAGTTGGATGACGAGACTCCCTTGAGGGTTGGACCTGGACATGCTCAACATACCGGATATTGTATTACTAGAAAAATAGGCTTCTGTAAATATTGGAAATCTCAACAATCGGACCCCTTTGTTTGTTGTTATCACCTCTTGACACGGGTGGAAGCACCAATGAGGAAAGGGTATTGTTTTGGAGAAAACTGTCCAGGACTTGAGGGGGCAAAAAGTATTCCTGTTGTTAACTATGATCCTGCGGCTTATTATTCCGGCGAGAGGTTAAAATACGAAAGGGAACGGCTTGATTTGTTAGAAGTAGAGGCGGAAACTGGAAAGGATGTGAGGTTTCATTGGAAGAATATGGATGGACCAGGCTATGAGACTTTTGAAGAGGAAAATTTACAATATAAGTTTGGATTCCAAGGACGTAACAGAGTCTCCAAGCCGGTTATGAGCTACATGCCGAATGACAGTTGGTGGCGGCCGCATTAGCAAGTTGGATGAAAACAAAATTGAAAAATGTGGACATGGACGTTTGTTTTACTCTTGTATGTGGGATGACTGCACGAAGATGAGCAGGTGGATGGAGGGCATCATTTCGAGCTTTATGAAAGGGTCAGAAATGCAAGTGGTATACTTGCTTATGAATTCGGAGGAATAGGAATAGAAGAGATGTTTTGTCAGCTTTGATACATTGAATTGAACAGCTTTTCCAGAGATCCGTGTACTTTCATATACTTTTTAGTAACTGTGAAAACCTTCTACTTTTTCTCAACAAAGCCATGAACGATAAACGAAAGACGTAGTTTCGAATGCTCGCTACTGGTATCACGCTTCCCTTGAAACTTCAAGGTATTACCGCCTTTGATTGGAATTACGGAAGCTCATATCGAGGTTTTCTGCATCTCAAAGGCACTTGACTTTGAGGTTGGTGAGCGAGTATGAATCGGAGGTTTACCCAGTATCATTAATCCTCGAACAAGCCAGCGTAGAAGAGTACTCATGGATAATATTATCACCACCCTAGTAAGGTTATCACAAACGAAACCACTTGATGTTCGTTTCGATAGTCCTTTTCCTTTCTTTCAAAGCTCAATCAGGACTGGCTTATCCCACTGGTACCCTTCAACGACGAGCATAGAGTTAAATATGCCACGTGATACAATGGCGATAATTCAAATACTGAGAGGAGAACTCTCGGTAGCTTGAGCCTCACCACAGTACAGCCCTGTGACTCAGCGCGAGTACGACGTTGAAGAAATCCAACCAACCACAGAGTGCCCATCTGCGTATAAAATAATGCTTAGAGATTATCACATTGCACGCGAGGTACTGAGCAGCTAGGTATCCAATGACAATTGTGATATTATATTTGCCACTCTTCCGTACTTCACTCTTCACTTCTCATCCCTCACTTCACTCTGAGCAAAAATGAGTCGAAAAGCATTTCAACTGTTTTTAGTAAATTTGGTGGATTTTAGCGCAATTATAAGAGTCATCCCACATGAAATCCCTGCTAGCGTATAATTGCTATCGAGAAAGGGTTTGCTGATTTTCCTAATAAATCCACTGCAGAGAACTTCGAAAATCTTCATTCAAATTCATAATTATCTACAAACCACAACAATCAATCAATTCTTTCACTTTTTTTGATTAGAAAACTCTACCAGAAATAATACCAGATATCCAAGATCACGTTTTCGCAAATAATTTAAATATGGCTGTTCGTGCGCAGTTTGAGAATTCAAATGAGTAAGTTTGCCTGCCTGCCTTACCCCTCCTCGATGGATGATATGATGAGATGGATTGGAGTGAGGGATGAGTACCCCACCACGGGTGGCACAATTGATGCGAGGAGTGGTGGAAGGATGGGATTGAACTGGCAACATGCGGAGGGAGAGAGAATGGATATCAAGCACGAAGAATTTCGAACATTGGATAGGTTGCTGACAAATTGATTCTTTTAGAGTCGGTGTCTTCTCTACATTGACAAACTCATATGCCTTGGTTGCTGTTGGCGCCAGTGAGAACTTCTACAGGTATGTGTATCTTTAAGCCCTTATAACTTTGATTCCGGCGCATTCCAGTCTTTCTTAGTGGATGAGCAAAAACTAATGAGGCGAACAAAAAGTGTATTCGAAGCAGAACTCCAAGATGTTATCCCAATTTGCCATGCCACAATCGCAGGAACTCGTATTATTGGACGTTTGACTGCAGGTAACAAGAAGGGACTTTTGGTACCAACGAGCACAACAGATCAGGAGTTGCAACATTTGAGAAATAGTTTACCGGACAGCGTTAAGATACAGGTGGGTTATTTTTCTATTATTTGGATGATTGGAGAGCTTTGCGACCAGTTTTGAGCATTGCGATACTTGAAATAAGCTTGGCTTCACTCCTTCAATGCTCCGATTTATTTCCTAAATACTAACGAACAACCAAATAGAGAATAGAAGAGAGACTTTCAGCTCTTGGAAACGTCATAGTATCAAACGATCATGTCGCCCTTGTCCATCCAGATCTTGAGCGCGAAACCGAAGAAATTATTGCCGATGTCCTCGGTGTTGAAGTTTTCCGTCAAACCATCGCCGATAATGTCCTTGTCGGATCCTATATGGCACTTTCCAACCAAGGTGGTATCGTCCATCCAAAAACCAGCATTCAAGATCAAGATGAATTATCTTCGTTATTACAAGTTCCATTGGTTGCAGGTAGTGTAAACAGAGGTAGCAGTGTAGTTGGTGCAGGTATGGTTGTTAACGATTGGATGGCCGTTACTGGTTTGGATACTACGGCTACGGAATTGAGTGTGGTCGAGAGTGTATTCAGGCTGGGCGAGGGACAAGGCCCAAGTGATATTGCGGGAAAGAACAAGGATACCATGGTGGAAAGTTTCTATTAAATTCTTTGGCGGGGGATGTGTATATGAGGAATTTCGGAGGATTAAAGACTTCAGTCCTGTGGCTTCGTTTTCCTCGGTCATTATTTAATAGATGTCATGGGGCATTTGCTAGCAGGAGAATAATCTCTTCAGCTGCTGAGATATGATACATAGGGTAAACTGGTCGTTTAATGGCCATGAATGGAGACTTTTCCCTCCCCATGCCGAAGTTGTGGCTCCCAGATTTACATGATCCTCAAGCTGTGAAAATTGGACCTGCAACTCTATTGAAGCGGCTATATTGATATATGATCTCGTTCTTGAGCGCTCTGGGCCATCTTCGTCCAGCAGACGAGATGTTCATTGGGATAAATAACTAGATCAAGCTTCTAGCCTATTAGTCCATATGTGCAACGTTAATAAGACAGTCGTCAGTATAGCTCTAATGAATTGCGAACATTCTCCATACAAAAACTGTCTTGACATATAGCCTTTAGCGACTAGTAGTTCGCTCAGATTTTCTCTCGACCTATCTGATGCCATTAAAAATTCCTTGAACCTAGGCTCCATATTTTCAACCCTTTTGACATTTGAACCGCATTTATTTACTGGATTCGATCTGGACCTTTCGAATCAGATGCAGAATTAGAGACAGCACGTGATCAACCCATTTTTATCGTGTTTTATAGGTCCGTGCGCGGTGCAGGTGATATCGACGCGTTTGTTCTTTTCGAAAAAAAAGTTCACCTTCACTTTTACCTTTTTCGGAGTTTGTTTTTCTTTTCATATTTTCGTGTTTGATTTTCAGTTTCAGAATCGCCTCTGAAATCTTACAATAATGTCCAAGCAAGAAGGTCAATTCAAAGTCTGAAAACATCATCGCCACGGGACAAGGTTTGATGGTGAAGGAGAAGACATTCCATACCGTAAAAGAAAACGGAAGAACGGAGGATAAAGACTGGGAGGTGTAAGCTTGGGGAGCTCAAAATGGATAGGGGCATGTCAGAGACCGATTTGGGGATGGATTTTATTGAACAGTGGGATTGGCAGCGGTTTAGGGAGGCCGAGAGTATGGAGTTGGAGGATGAAGAGGATAGTGCGATGCAGACGCAAGTGAGCATTGAGAATGGAGAAAAGGTCAAGGAGACGACAAGAGATGTTAATCAGATGGGAGAGGTTGGTGAGGTGGATCCGAGAGGATCACAAAGTATGATTTTACCACAGTATGATGGGCCGGCTGATGATGAGGATGTGATTGGGGAAAATGGATCGGTATCAAAAATTGACATTGGCGATATTGATGTGGGATCGCGCCAAGTAATTTTGCTACAGTGCGATGACCAGGCTGTATCCATATCGAAAACCGGGAGCGGAGATGTCGATATGAGCTCTCGACATGATGATACAGCAGCCTCAAATATACCTACGGAGGAAGGGTTGAACAAAAACGCTCCCGTGGCCCAAAAGCAAAGAATGGTTACGGGAGACGTTGAGCCGTACAAGGAAGAGAGTGGGGCAATTTCGGAAAAACACGATGATACGGCAGATGAGCAAGAAGACCAAGAGATGAACCTAGCTGGCGACAAAAGCATTCCGGATTTCCCTGGAGCGGAGATTGGCGATCAAGAATTGGTCAAAGTTGATGAACCAGCTCTACTCGAGGAAACTCGTAAGAATGCTTTAGAGACAATTACAACAACTACTGAAATGACAATTGACTCTAGTCTCAACGCGGATGTTGATCCCTTCGGAGGAAACATGTATTCTGAGAAACAAATCTACGACAAGTCAGATGATAAGATTAAGGATTCGAGTTTAGGCAGCGAGAATATTGTGTCGGAGAGAGGCAACGACATCTCAAACTCGGAAAAAGCTATCACCGAGATGGGAGCTGGGCCAGTAATTGATACACCTATCGTTGAAGAGAACAATCAAATCGGAGAAATTTGCGGCAATGTTACAACTTTGAATACCACTCATTCCGAAACGACTGTTGACACTGAAAAGATTGTTGACAAAGACGCAAAATCTAGGAACGAAGATCATGGTACCGAAAGCGTTACCAGCGGGTTCCTGAGTAACGAAGATTTAAGGGACCTTGAAGGGAAGCCGAGCTCAATATCTATTCTGGAACAATCACCTGTTGAATTTGCACCCGGAGACAATTTCTCGGAAGGAGTCCCGTCAGTAGATGAGAATATCGTGAGTTCTGCGAATATAGACAGCACGTCAAATCTTACGCATATTCAAGTTCTCAGAATTGCTAATCAAATACCTGTGGACGATGAAAGCTTGGATGATGTTGAATTGCCTTCACTTTCAAGATTGGAAGCTCCAGTACAGGCAAGACACGTAGAAATTCCGGATAGCGATGCGATCACAGAATCAAGTCAACAATCCCCGCAAAAGCTCAGCCATAATGGAAATACATTCGATAGCTCGGCGAGATATGGAAAGAATGTGGAAATGACCATAGGCGCCGATGCTGCCAGAGAAGAAAATGAGGATGGGGAGGCCGAAGACGTTGTAAGCTCGTTTGGGAGAGAATGTGCCACAAGCTCCATCGACCCAAAGAAAAATCTCAAAGAGCTAGAAATGATGGAATCTGAAACTCCACAGAATGGAATAGATGATTTTGATGAGATTGGAGAGTCCTTTGAGTGTGCGCCGATTGGTTCTACCGGGAAAGTAGAGGAAGATTCTAGAGCCGATGAAGATGATATGGATATTCACCCGCCCTCTATTCAGACATCACCGCAAAAACCAACAAATAAGAGGGGTCGATCAACAGGAATAAGAAGATCTAAAATGGCCAACAGTCAAGCTGACGAAGAAAGTATCGAAAGCAAAGCAATGCTTGTCGAAGCTGGCCCAGATAAGCCGATAAGTGTGGAAGACAAGGAAGACTTGAGCGTAAGCAGTCCCGTGGCCGAGAGGAAGCAACGAGGCAGATTACCTACCGGGAAGATTTCTGCATTATCTGTCGATGAGCATGTCGACAAACTGGATGACGCATTGAAAAATATAGCTTCTACAGATGCCACAGCAGATGATTCCTCTACAAATAGCCCCGCACCTGAGAAGAGGAAACGAGGACGACCAGCTAGTAGAAAGGTCTCTTTGTTATCTGCTGATGGGCTTGCCATGGAAGAAGATAAAGCAGCTTTGGATCCACATAAAAGCTACGAAGCCACTATTATCAACAAATCAGCTGAGGCATATTCATCTCCCAGAAAACTCCCAGCAGACAAGTTATATCCAAGTAATCCTACACCTGAGAAGAGGAAACGCGGAAGGCCACCCGGGAGAAAAACTTCCACGTTATCTACTGTTAAGAATGATGATGACGATCTCGAGAGAGAGCAGGTTTTGATGGATGAGAAGACTATACAGTCGAACATCAGTCACAAATCGACAGATGAACGACCTGCAAACCCTCCTATTCATTTCATGCAAGATGAGAAGAGAAAAGGAGTACCGACAGGTCGAAAATCTTCAGATTTGATTCCTGAGAAGAATTATTCTGATGGACCTGACGGAGAATTGGACGAGTTAGATGACGTGACAGCAATAGCCCCAGTCGAGATTATTGAGAGTCATGATGAGTTTGGAATCAACGATACGATGGATGAACTAACTGCGAATTCGTCTTCACCTGTTAAGCGAAAGAGAGGAAGACCAGCTAGTAGAAAATCTTCCGGCTTGAGTCTCGAGAAACCCAGCACTGAAGAAGTTACTAGACATTATTCAAGTAATGTCTCAGTGATTATTCCCGGAGATATTGAAACGGAACAAGCTACGCCTAGTCAGAAATCTACTGGAAAGCATATTGCTATCACATCTCCATCGGTCGAGAGAAAGAGAGGAAGACCTGCAGGACGTAAATCTTCTGGGGTTGAAGCAGAACATACAGAAGCTGACGAGTTATTGTACGATGCTTCACCATTGACTCACAATGATGTTGATGTACAAGCCGCCCCACCTGGGGAAGCAAATGATGATTCGGATGGAAGTTCTTCTGTACGACCGAAAAAAAGAGGTCGACCTGGTCGAAAGATATCTGAACTGAATTCCCAGAAGATACACGTCAATGAAGCTATCAACGGAAGTTCTAGAATTGTTGTAACGGAAGAAACCTTAGAGAGCATTGCTAAGGAGTCCATAGGCGATGTTCATTCCACTGATGAACTAGCTGATATCGATTCCTCACCAGTGAAGAGAAAGAGGGGAAGACCTGCTGGCAGAAAGGTGTCTCGACTAAGTCCGGAAAAGACAACTGTTGACGAAGCTTCAGAGAAGACTCCAAATACCCCAAATAAGGCTGTTACTGATGCTAGTGTCTGTGAGCCAGCATCTGAGACGCAATCAGTCGACGAGCCGCAAACTTTTGCCAACACATCACCCGAGAAGAAAAGAAGAGGTAGACCGGGGAGTCGTAAGGTCTCCAAAGTGACTAATCCAAACAAGGGGTCCGTTAAACCTCCAGAAGAAAGTCAGGTGGCCATTGCATTGCAAGAGACCGTAGGCGCAAGTATTGATCAACCAGCTGTGATCAGTTCTTCGCCAGAGAAGAAAAAAAGAGGTCGACCTGCTCGCAAAGCTTCTAGCTTGAACGCCCGGAATGCCACCATGAAGAATATGTCGAATGATGTTATTAGTAGTGGTAAGAATATCCCGAACGAGATTGTCGACTCAGATGAGGAAGAAGACGCGCTGCTCAATGAATCGCCGCCTTCGAAAAAGGTTAAGCCAGAACCAAGGATGAGAGGCCGATCACCTGGAACTAAAGACTTGGGTGCCAGTACTGAAGACGCAAAATCTGGCGAAGAAAATTTGACAGGGGTATTGACCGGCAGGGCTGAGAGTGGTGGGACAAATCAGGTGGTTACACAGATTGAGGAAAAACCTCCTGCATCAGAGAAGAAGAAACGAGGTCGACCCTCCACAACCAAAGCTAGGCGAATCAGTAATAGCAATTCTGATGTTGCAGAGGAAGAGCAACAAACAATCGACAAAGGCGAGATTCGTAGCATTGAAAGTGAGGACCCTGACAAAGAAGAGGAAGCTATCGAACAAGAAGAGCCGGTGATTGAGAAAAAGAAAAGGGGAAGACCAAGCTTGCTTAAGAACAAAGAGAAACAGTCCGCAAAAGCTACAGAACCTGTAGATAAAGATGCCACTATTAACGATACACCCATCACAGGTGGTATCAACACGAAGTTATCCGGAAGTCAAGTATCTACATCGTCAAATACCTCAGCATCCCATCGCCAAGATGCGTTTTTAGCCGAGATCAAGGCGATGAAACTCGTAAGTCTTAGTCTCCCTTTGATCACATATTTGCTTTTTCCTTCAAATAATCAACTAACTCTGTTTCTAGACATCAATCCAAACACGTAATGCCAGTCTCAAAGCAGAGATTGCACAAAAACGCGAACAAATACAGGAAATCACGGAAGGGTTGGAGAAACCGGCGAAGCAAACGGTCAAGAGACATATCAAGTTGTTGCATGATTATAATGATATCAAGGATGTGGGACAGGGATTGCTGGGTATGATTGCCGATAATAGGGGTGTGAGGGTTGGGGAACTGTATGAGGAATTTGGGGTGGGGATTGCGGATTAGGAGGGTTGATGAGAGGGGAGGGGAGGGAATGGAAAGAGTGTGCTACTAAAGTGGTGGTGAAGGAATCTTGGTGGATGGAATGATACAAGGATGAGTACTAAAGCAAGGAAATGAGTTTGTTGCTAATGGGTGTGTTTGGTTCGATTTCCTTGTTATATGATACCATTTTGCCTACTGTTTGCTGGGGCGTAGAGGCTTTTCTCTCGAGGGAGAAATACACTGAAGGAGCTAGACTATTGAATGTCTCTTGCTTGTGCATTAAGATAGAGATGGATGGGAATACAGTTTTCTCTTAATGAGATTATATGAACAAATGTAGCTGCGTAGGTAGCTATAGTAGCTTTATTTGCAATAGAGCCTCGTTTACTATCATGTTTGTATGGAAATGAGCATTATATTGAGATGGAAATGAATACTTGAGTGTATGATGGAATTGAAACGATCTTTCTGGAATGTCATCTGCAAGCCGGGTGCCGGATACCGTCTGAATTCAATAGCTTTATATTACTTGGTATTCTTTGAGAGGTTAAATGAAGAGGAGTGGGAATATGGTATCTTGATTGGTGAAGTTTTATGGGCGCGTGGAGAAGGTAGAAATGATGGGATTAAATCAATGCATAATTCAATTCATAAATAGTTTATTTTCATATTATTTTAACGGACGATATTGCCTATATAGACGAGCTGTTTTCAAGGACGAGATAGTGACTATCGCCTAATCCCTCCGAAGAACTAAAAATTATTCACAGCTTCAAAAATTCACTTCCCTTCAAATCCTCAAACTCTTCACCCTCCCTACAATCTACCCCCTCCTTCACCACTCTCCCCACTTCCTCCCCCACCTCTCGCTCCCCATTCAACAAATCAAAATACCCACTCCTCACCCCCTCCTCCGCCAACAACCTCACTGCCACCTCCGCCACATCCCCTCTCGTAACCTTCCCCTGTCCCGTCGTCTTCCCCAAACTCACTCTCCCCGTCTCCTCCTCATCACTCAACGTCCCCGGCCTCAAATTAATCCACGTCAAATCTTTCCTCTCCTCGCTCAACACGACTAATGCTTGATCTGCCGCTAACTTTGCTTTGTAATAATCGGGAAGAACTTCGTTGTTGACTTTCTGCACATATGCCCAATCTTCGTCGCTCCACCATGGAGCCCGCGAGCGGCGGCATATGAGCGCGGAAACGAGGAGGAATTTGGTGATAGAGGGGGTTGCGAGAGAGGCCCGGATGAAATGGATACAGGCGTTTTGATCGATGGCGTAGGTGCGGTCTTTGGCACCTTTGCCTCCGGCTCCTGTTGGGTTGGCAAGTTGTTAATTGGTGTTCTGTTTCTTTATGGGAAAATCTCTATCTCTGATCCTTCCTTTTCAAGGAAAAGAATGAGAAAAATGAGAAAAATGAGAAAAATGGGGGCAATGGGAGAATTCATACCAGCACACCAGATAACCCAATCCGCTTTTACTTGTTCCAAAATGCTTTTCGCGTCACTCTCGCTCTTTACATCTTCAATGCTGGAGACGAGCACCTCGAGGTTTCCGGCGCTGCTTTTGGGGGCGCGGGATGCGGCGGCTAGGATATCGGATTTGTGGTCGGGGTTGCGGATCATGGAGATGAGGTTCCAGGATCGCGAGAGAATTTTGGGAGTTAGTAGGAGAGACACTTTGCCGTGGCCGCCGAGGAGGAGGATGCGCGGGGTAGAGGGTGACATTTTTTGGTGGTTGAGAGGGGTTGATGGTTTGAGTGTTGTTTTTGTGAAGGGTGGGAGAAAATTGTTGGTTGGGAATTGAGATTTTTGGTATTTCGATGTTTAGGTAGACATTAGCTAGTAGCTAGTAATTACCCCGAGTTGATATACCTACTAGGTAACCGTTTGATGTTGCTGTTCTGGTTGGTAAGAATGCGGGGTCGGATCGCATCATAGTGGAACTTAGTTGGGAATTTTCGATTACGTCATATCCTATCTCCCTACCGAGCCTACCTACAGTACCTTCCTTGTGGATTATGTAATTGATTAATTAGGCTAACGTGGTTTAGGTAGTGTATTGTATTTGTAAGGTGTACTACTGCTAGTATCTCAATTCTTATTTAATTATTAAGAAGTAATCAAATTGAACCACCTTTACTAGTACCCTAAACGCTTTACATTTAGACCCATGAGATTCATAATCTAATAGGTCTCAAAAATTAAAGGCATACTGATCCACATGCCGATCCTTCTTCACACGGACGTTAAATAGGTATAATCAATCAATCAATCATCTCAGCTAACTAACATTCTAGGGAAAGGTTCACTATCTCTATTGAATTTTCAAACCGTTGGTGATTTGCAATGGATCTGGGACTAAGTACAAGGTATATGTCAAGGCTAGTTGTTTCTTGATCGGGTTCTCAAACTATTGAGTCGTAGAATCTCCATCCCAAACAGCTTCCAAAATCCAAAGGTTAGAGCCAGCAGGTTGCTTCCCTCCCTTGAATGTAAACCTTGGATCCGCATCTTCGAAGAGTTTAGCCCAATCTTCCAATTCTCTTTCCCTCGAGTTTTGTAACTCCAACATTGTGAGATCCATGGATCTCAAACGTTCCTCGCGCCATCTTGGCATTGTTCCAGGCTCCGGCAGCACATTGTCGTTGATGACAATGCGCGCACCTTTTTTGAGAGCGGGAATTTGGTTGCGCAGTATTTGAATGCAATATTTATCAGACCAGTTGTGGAAAATCCATCGGAAGAAATAGATGTCCGCATTCTTGACAGGCTGTTCTTTCAAAAAGTCATAGGCCATGAACTTGATTTTGTCTGAAAGCTCCGAGGGGACAGTCTTAGCACCAGCTTCAACCACTGGTGGAAGGTCTTGAACAATAAAGTTGAGGTCAGGGAATGCTTTCGCAAGTCGTGTGCAGGCAAAGCCATGCGAGCCACCGACCTGTTGATTTATTAGTGGGATTGATAAAGCAAAAATAGCAGAAATATTACATACATCAACAATAGTACCATTACCAACCTCCTTCCAGGAGTAGTTATCAATAACATATTAAAGATCGTATCCTGTACCCTCTGTCCAAGCTTTCATGGCACTGCCAAAACGTTTTGCTCGTGGTGGATTTTGGGACAAAACTTCGAATACAGATTTATCCGTACCGTTCGCAAGCGCAAACCCCTATAGAAGTACATCAGTCTAACTATCTACGCTTTATATCAAGGGACTGTACGGTCTCATTTGGCTCTTGGGATCTCGGATGCTTCACCATAGCGTTAACTGTCTGGGTTGCGGCTTGCCAGAGCTCATCAGAGGTGGTCGCTACCCAATCAGCCATTTGCTGATCTTCTGCTATCATCCTGGATGCAGCTGTGTGAGCAACAACGCCCCTCTTTGGTTCCTTGAATAGGCTTAAAGTCATGGCATGACGAAGAATACGACGGACGTCAAGCTCATTGACGCCACATCTTTTTGCGATATCGGCATAAGAGACTTCTTCATGAATCGGAATACTTTTCGCAATATTGAAGCGACTAATTGCTTGCATGCTTATGAGCCAATCATGCTTTGACAAGTTAGTAAAGAGCTTAGTAGTTGCTTTTGTGTATACTCACGGTGAATTTCATCAAATACTCCTTAGGTCCAAGAATGAGGTCATGAAGCATCAACGTTGCATCAATAAGCTCTGATCGAGCAGCTTCAAGTTCAGGAGCATCTGAAGGGACGAGTGGCTCAGTAGGGGCGTCAACATCGAATGATGGAGACTTTAGACCTTGGCTGCTCAAGTAATTGTCAATTTTGGCAGTATTTGCCGAAATTATCGCAGCTAGTTCAGTGATTGTTGATTGCACCATGATGAAGTAAAGAAGTATTGTCGAAGTACCTTTCTCGAGGAAGAAGAAGGGGCAATATATGTTGAAAAAAAAAGAGGGCCCGGTGAAAGAATCCCTGGTGAAATGTTAGGGGGATTGCATTCCGGGCCGCAGACATGCAGTAAATAAGGGGCGCAGAAACTGCATCTGACAGATATTCTTAATGCAATAAGAAAGCCTAATATCAATATTCCAATATAGTAAGTAGTATTGGCTATCTTGATTCTGTAATTGCCGCATGTACTGGCGTGTTAATCTTGAAAACTAAAAATGACTGGCTTCACTGTCTGTGGGGTTTCGTGGATGTGCTGAGGGGGAGAAGAAACAAGTAGATTGGTGCGCAAATGCCACCAACCACAAGGTTGATGTAAAAAGCCTGGAGCAACGATATCAACACAATTAATTGTATCTACGACGAAGTTAACTCACCCATCTCCAAGTAGCACTGCTGACCGTGAAAGCTCCCCCTAAAATTGGATCTAAAATTGTTCCCGTACCCCAGGTCAATCCGCAAAGACCAAAGTAGACCGGCCGTTCATAGTCCAGAATAGTAACGGATAGTAGTACCATCACTCTTGAGTACATGCTGGCCCCTCCAAGTCCACATATTGCTCTGCTCACAATCAAAGCGTCCATTTGGGTGCTGCACCACAAGCAGCAGACCCGATCTCGAAGAGCACAACACGAATAATATACACATATTTGGCGTCGAACTGAGAATAAATTTGCCCCCTACACCGATTGTATCAGACATGAACCGATCATCCAAAACGAGATATGAGGATCAACAGAATTGTCATTCTTACCAGAAGAGATCTGTTCCAGATGCGCCAAGGAGAAAGGATACAAGAAGCCAGGCTAATTTATCGACTAATGAAAACTGTCGAACGACTGCGGGCTGCACGTCGGTACTGATTGTGTTATCAAGTGAGAAGAGAAAGGTTGATGATAAAATCGAAAGAACCACAAGAGGCCATCGAGCGCCAGTGACACTACTAGGTGGAAATGAAAGGAGGGGGGGATTCCCGTCGACGCTTTGAGTCTTTGAGGAACCATGGGAGCTATCAACGCCTTTGTTCTTTTCGGGCGTTGCACTCAGGATCTCTTCAGAGGTAGGTTCAGAAACCACAAAAAGATCCAGGGCAGGCGCCTTCTTCTGTTCTTCGAGATCAACATTCATTTCGCTGGCCATAATGAAGAATTCTGAAAGTCTCCAGAAGCGGATGTTTGCCAGTCTTGAAAGATGTCTTGAGGAAATATCAAGACTCGACTTGTACCGAGTTGTCACCATTCATATCGGTGGTGTCCGAATCACAACTACACATGCGATATGTCCCTGCCACATACATTCTAGAAATTCTATGAATGGAACATACATATGTGTTAAGATGGTCAACAAATAATCGTGAGGGTGATGGAAGTGGAGAGACTTCAACACTTGCCGAGTATATCTCCCGCCGTCTTGAAGAAAAGTAGATCCATGGCCATTCATGAATGCCTATAGATTCTCTCCGCAAGCAATTAATGTGCAGCATTCTCCACTTGGTATGTAGTTGTAAAGCTTTCAGTTTATACCGTTATGTTCGCACAGCACTTGCGCGGCGCAATCATTTTGGCCGAGTGGATTCGCCTTTCGGAGATTACCAACATCAAAACCAACATCCTGATATCCGAATATACCCGAGGCTAAATACTGTGCCATTGGTACTCGCTGATCGGATCATCAGCAACTAACTCAACGGTCCGGTGCGCGTTAGCAGCGATGTTCTGCAGCATCCATCACAGTAGCAATGGACTGTCAGTCATTCTTATTATGGAATGGATTCTCAAGTACCGTGTAGTTGTATTTTAAGGTAAAAATCGATTATAGTGGAGTATCGTACAGCCCTTCATGATCTTCTAAGTCTTTTCTCTTTACAACTTGCAGATTTATGACACGTTAGAGATTTTGCGCATGTCGTTCTACGATAGAATTTCAGGTTATTTTGGGTCAACACAGACCGCAGTCCGCGGGGAAGATATACAAGCTTAGGTGCCTAGCCACCTGAGTCAATTGTATTGTTAGCCACTCTGGTGCTTACCTAAGTGTATCCAAAGCAGTTGCTGTGGAGTTGCTGGAAGCTTAGACATGTCGTACATTGGGGCTGGCACTCTAACTGGTGTAAAGCCCCAAGACATGGGCATGTCTGTCACAGATCCCACTAGACCAAACCAGCAGAACTCTCGAGGCTTACGCTTGATCACTGGACCTACCTCTGGCTACGATGTAATTTTTCCTTTTCAAACTATAAAAGCTAAATATAATCAAGGGACTCATAGCACGAACCTTGAATTTTTCGATTGGGTTATTGAGGTAAGCGAAGCGCTCACTGTGTTAGATGCGCAGCGGATATCTATTAATATGATTAGGTCTCGAGTATCATATGGTATAAGCCAACTGCTACTGATCTTAAACCCTCAAAGATACAAAGAAATCTCTGCCTTACTATATTGAATACCTGTATACTCAGATGCTATAGCTTGACACGACCGAATATCCTGCTCAAACTACTTCATGAGTCTTACCCAGAAGCTGCGGAAAATAACAAAAAGCTGATATTTCTTAGCATTAATGTCACAGATAGTCAAAGTTGGGGCGGAGACGCTGAAATTGAAGGTATATTAAGTTTCTATCTTTGCAAAATATTCCACTCATGCACCTTGAATATGTAAGATAGTATCACCGAGATTCCTCTTTTAGTAGTGCGCTGCTTCAAGTGAAGCTAGTGCAAGTTTCGCAACAGATACGGACGTCCTAGTGTTGAGAAGTGATTGGTATTTCACGCTCAAAATTTGCACAGCTAGATTGGTCGGAGGATTGAGATTGGAAAAACGACAGCACCTTCAACTTCTTGGTGATCAGTTGCTAATATTGTGAATCAGTCGGCTACAAATGGGGAGTTAAAGATAACTGGGAAGCAAACTTGAAGGCAACATTCAATGAAAACTTTTCCACGATGAAGTCTCGTTCAGAACCCACCACTCACGCTCCACGACATCATCATTCCTTATCTTGCCATCCTTCATCTCACGCTCCGCCAATTTCCCTCTCATGATCTCTACCGCTCTTTCCCCCTCCCCAATCTCATCATATCCACATATCGTCTCCGCTATCCCCCTCACTTTCTCCCCTATAAGCGAAAGATTATCAGAAATAACAGGATCTTCCATATCAAGCATCCGACCATAATAGTTAGCAGTAGACACGGCGGTTGTCGCGCGCGGCTGTCGGATTTGTGTGTATGCTGTGAAGAGGGCGCGTAGATTTGAGCTGGCACCGGAAGAGTGAGAGGTGGTGGGGAGGTGCGAGAGAAGCTTTGTGAGGATGTATACGTCTTCGACTAGGTGGGGGTGGGGTTAGTATTTGTTTTTGTAGGTTAGGATGGATATAGATAGTGTGGCTTTTGGAAGATTAATGATTGAGGATACACAACGTTGGGGAGAGTATAAGAACATTAGCTGGGAGACAAAAAAAGGAAACTTACTACCAAGACCAGCGCCTTGTCCAAAATGAGGAGCGGTGGTGTGAGCAGCGTCGCCGATGAGAAGGATGGGTAGAGTGGGATGGTGAAAGGTCGGAGCGGGGGGATGGTAGAATGTTGCCCAGTAGGAGGGAGATTTGATGAGCTATGAATGGAATGTTAGTAGTTTTTTTATCAGAACATAGATTTGGGGTAAAAGGGAAATAAAATTGGGGAAGTGAGATCCTGTGAAATGGGAACTAATATCGAGTTTGAGATGTATGAGATCGGGTAGAGGTGGAGATAACATCACCATCGAGAGATATATAAAGGGTCGAGGTAGTTTGATGAATCGAATGTAGCCGAAAAATACAACGGCTATGGGTGAAATCCACAAAACAAAAATCGTAAGGAAGATAAACAGAAAAAAACACATCTCAAATAAGCAAATAAAAGAATTCAACCACCATCCACTTACCCTCATAATCCCCTCCACATCATCCCCCCACCTCCCATCCAAATAATCTCTCTCCAGCTCCTCCCCCACATTCTCCCTCACCCAACCCCCCTCCCAATCCCCCTCCCAACCCCCCTCCTCCCGATTCGCAAACGCAACAATATTCATACTCTTCCCTCCCTCCACCGGAAACGAAACCACATGTCCCCCATGTCCCAAATAGAACATCCTCTGACCCGCTTTCTCTCCTATCCTCGCTCTCGCTTCTTCCATCGGTATTAATCCTCTATATGCTATTTTCCCCGTAAACCGTGCTTTGAGCGCTTCGGCATTGCAAGTCGGTGTGATTACTATATCCCGACAGAGAGATTTGACGCCATCGGCGCCGATTACTAGGTCGGCTGTTGAAGTTGTACTGTCTTGGAATTGTAAGGTTACTTTAGAATTTGGATGATCGGAAATAGAATGTAAATCAGAAGCAGATGATACAATCCCAGTCAAACGCTTCCCAAACCGAACATCGCACGAAGAAGGAAGAAGTTTGATCAGAATATCCATTAAAGATCGTCGATGCGCGGTACTCTGACCCTCTCTCCCCTCTTTCATGCGTACCTGTGCGATTCGCTTTCCTTCCCATTTCTCATCGGCTATTCCTTGTGAATTTCCGACTTTATCACCGACTACAAAGTCCCACCATACGTCGTCTTCGCCCCAGTTCGCAATCGCTTTGTAATTTTCCCAGAATTCGGGATGGAGAAGTTTCATAATTCGGTGACCGCTAGCGCCGAATCCAATACCGGCGCCGATTTCGGAATAGTGTTGGTGCGATTCGTAGATGGTGTAGTGGAGGTGAGAACGCTGGTGCAGTGGGAGGGCGGAAATAGAAAGTGCGAGGCTGAGGCCTGTTAGTCCGGCGCCGATTATAGCGATTTGAAGAGGCTCGCTTGGTTCGAGGGTCGGCGGAACCGTGGTAGAGCTTTCCATGATTTTGGAAATAGGAATTGCAGCTGGGGATGGGATTTTGATTTTGGATATGAATTATGAAAGAAAAAAGGAAGAGAAAATGAGACGTGGAAGTTGTAATGTTTAGTATACGGGGCTCAAACGCTGATAAGGTGATGAGCTAAAAGCTGGTGACGTGCTAGAAAGAGGTAGGTGAACTAGACACTGATTACTGAATATGGATCACACTCGCGTACCAGCACACACTCCGCAGATTTGTCAACTCAGACAACGATTGAAAATAATTTCATGGTGATCAAAAAACATGGTAGCTGAGTGATATTATATAGAATTAGACACAAAGATACACACACTAGAAGCGCCACTGCAACACAAGCTCGTAGAGATAGAACGCTAAAATGCGTGTTTCAAATCTTCGTGATGGCAACCGAGAAAGAACGAATGAGCTTTGGAAACAGTTCCGACGGTTACATTGCATTGAGTACGTCGAGTAACCTCGGAAGTAAATACGAAACCGTAAATCTCAAGGGTCTAGCAACTTCCGAAGTACAGTGAAATTTATGTGGGACGTAGAAATTCCACAGATCGAGCTCAAAGAAAAGTATCTGACTAATAGATTGTCCTTCAATAACGCCTTGTGCTACCTAGGTACCTGAAGGTGAAAAAATGATGTGTTGAGGCGCTCCCACTACTAAGCGAAGAATTCCTTCCATGAATGTTTGCGAGTCGGGAACTTTCTCAAAGACTTCGACTCTAAAAAACCCTTCCACCGTGTAACTTTTATGATATCACCTGATACTTCAGTACAGTTGATGACCTTACACCAATTAAGCAATCAATAAGTATATCTGAAAGAAGGGTGCATATCCCCGAGCGTGTCGACATCCTCTCTCTCCAACAAATAATCCCTTTTACCAGCTGCTCTAGCCCTATTCTCCATCCACAAAAAGAATGCATAGATAATCAAGAGAACCGCAGCACAACAAGTCATCCACACAATGGTTGTATATCCCAAGACGAAAGATGGTGCCTTAGTACTTGCAAAGCAAAGGGTTGACGCTAGACCCCCCAGATTCCCAATGCTGACCTGAATTGCTATCGCGATTCCCGTCTTGTACGTTCCAGCAACGTTGTTTGGTAGAATTGTCCATATTATTGGTACAGCAATGTAGATTCCACAAGCCAGAAGATACACCGCTCCATATCTGGTATGCGCATTGACACGATCTTCATTAAGTAAGACTATCGCACCAGCTATGATCGTAACGTATCCAAAAAGAGCGAATCCTGTACGATGTTTGAAATGATCAGATAAGAATGAAGCTACCAATGAAGATACTGCCGCTGCAACAAAAACCGGAATACAGAGAACCTGTACGTGACGAGGATCCTGATGAGCAGAAATGCCAGAAACAATAGTTGGTGTAAATATTCCGACGCTAGCAGACGTCATGAATGTGAATGCGAGAATTATGCCACTAAGATTGATTAGTTTAAAACTTTCTGGGAAGTTGGGTGGATTGTTTACGCTACATATATCTTCCAGTCTTTTAAAACCTTAATGAGTCTGTGTATGTCCAACTTCTCGCCCTTCGGTTCAACAACTCCTCCTTGCTTGATTGCATCAGCGAGCAAAGCCTTTTCATCATCGGACATCCATTTTGCCTGATGCGGCCAAGTTGGCATGAATGGGTAAGCAACAACTGCCACTGCAACAGTAATACACCCTTCGATGATGAAGATCCATCTCCAGCCATTATACCCATTGGAAGTATTGATACCAGCAATAGCAAATGCAAGTAGTCCAGCAAATGCGGTTCCAAGGGCATTGCCAACCATCAACATACTTAATCTCCATTGCATTTCATACCGAGGATAATATTGACTCAGGATAAAGACACTTCCTACAATTGTGTTAGTGTTTTCGCTAAACGAACGGTTGTCGAAAATACCTGGTATGAGTCCTGTTTCGAGTAACCCCACAAAGAAACGCATGGCATAGAACCCCGCAAGATTTGTGACAAGTCCCTCTCCAATAGCTACGACTCCTATATGATGTTAGTTATGCCGAGGAAAGATTGGGAAGAGACTGCAACCTAGAAGGAAGGTTTCGCCAGTAATAACTATTTGTGGTGTGCTAGCTTTTAGTAATGCATTACACGGAATGTCGAAGACAATAAAACAAATGACGACGATGAGGAGAGCCATGTTGAAATCGTTCCCTTGCATTTGAAGATCCTCCTGAATTCCGAAGATGTTTGCGCTTCCGACGTTGCCTCGATCAACGACAGCGACTACCCAAAGAGTAAATAAAGCTGGCAAAACATGAAGATCAATTTTCCAGATCAATTTTCGATATTCTTCTGAAGAAAGCGGTATGGGAGTCGGTGAGGTTGGAGAGCATAATTCAAAAACTCCTTGGTTCACATTATCCCCATTGGTTAGTTCCGATGCCTTCTCCATTATCATATGTTTTCGCTATTCCGTGAAGGATTCGCAAATACTTTTTGAAAATTAATATCGAAACGAAGGTCAAAAAACAAGAAGGATAGAGTAAGTGCTAGGTGGATTTGCAGGATAAATGAATTGGAAATCGCAGAGTTTGGGGAGTAGTTAGGTACTTGAACGGATAAAACTTGTCAGTCCTCAACAAAATAAGCTGTGACCTGCTTGCTATCAATTGTATCGAGTGGGTAGAGGTTTTATTGAGATCGAAATCGCGTACAAGTCAGAAATTCAAGCCATTGTAACCTCTACTTGAAGCTGTCAAAATTGTGAAATTCCACGCAGAAGTCTTGTGTGAATTGAAAAATTGAAAGTAGAGATTCTTTTAAAATACTCAAGATTCTGCATCCCAAGTATAGTTCGCGATCCCGTTTTGAGTATAGTCAAAAGTATTAACTTCTTTCGATAGCATACCTTCACTGGAAGGAATCTCCCCATATATCTGCATGTCATAATCTCACCGTCATTGAAACTTATCGAAAGATATGTATATTTCTATTCAAAAATGAGCGATTGTGTAGATAGTCTCATCACCCATTATAGATATGAGATGGTGATCAAGGATTAGATGATTCTTGGAACAGAAAGTACCAGAGCATATCAGCGGGAAATGCGGCTGCTGTTTCACCGGAAGTTCGAATCTGAGCTGTTGTCCCTCTCGCACGAAACAGTATTCAACCGTGTTTACAGTTTGTCTGGAACTCAACAAAGTTTGAGCTTGGAAAAAAGTTGTTGGATGCGATACAGAAATAAATGATCGAAGTGGTTGTCTGATGAAAGCTTCGCTCTAACATCATTCCATACCAAACTTCCGAGGGTCGTCGCTGTATGTCCAAGGATTATTCAAGTGATAGATCGGATCGTCACTTTAGTACAGATTTCGCACAATATACTTTGCCAACATGTGAAACATTACCTACCCTCGAGCTACCGATCAATAGCTTTGACGTCAATCTATCTTTTGCGGAAGTTTTTGTAGGTGGTTGAATATATTTTTTGTAGGTGTGAGATTAGCTTTTGAATTAGGCTTGTTTTTTCACTAAGTAGTGCCAAGGTGTGTGTCTAGTTAGCGAGTATAAAGCTTCTAGATCTCGGCGACGACAACACACGTTCAACCGCGAATTTGGTCACAGAACACAACAACTCTCTTGACGAACAATCCGACATGCTGATACAAACCCATCCGAACTCCTGATATGTAATACATTATCTTCCTTTCCTCATAGAATCGCTGAGAATATAGATCTCGCACTAGACAACAAGTCAAGTCATGCAAGTAAGTCTATTGCTGGAATTCTTACAATCGCCCAATGAATGTCACGAAACGGGATATTCATAATCACCAATATTTCTCTCACTCTCATCTTTGAATTTCTCATTTTCTTCGAACTATATGAGTGGATACCTTCCAATTCTCAAGAAGAATTGGAAAGAAAGACATGTCTGCCCAAATGATCGGTCCATAATCATCGATCGTTCTGATAAATTCCACAAATTGTTCAAACACCAATATTCACGCTTCATACTTCGTACTTCCACAAGACTTAATTACCTACCTACATAAAGCAAGATTCCTGTTTGCCTAGTTTCGCAACGAAAGAAGTCACGATAGCCTCAAGGACAAATTATACAACTCCAAAAAGCACAATGAGCTACGATTCAGGAGTTTAAGGGTCATGAAGTATCATCCATCCCAACTTGGGCCTGCTCGTGAAAATCTAGCAAGAGGACTTTTTCATCTGCAAAGTCACATTCATGATACCTTTTCAAAATCACATTCCCAACACTTCTTCAAGAACTTAGGTACTCACACCTCTCCCCCTTTCATTTCCTACAATATGATTCATCTACCAACCTCCTCAATCTCCAACAAATCCAAATCCCCAATGCCAGGTAACCTTAACAAAATATCCAAACCATTCAAGTTCAGCTCAGTTCAGCGTGACTAGCCACCACAATACAACACACCATTGTCGTATATCATCATCAATACCATCCAATCCCGCTTTCCACAGCAAACAGCACCATGAAAGACGAAAAAGAAAGTAGATACCTATAGAGATTCCGATTGCTCTTGTAGATATTCCACATACAGTTATTTAGATATGTATATCTGAGTAATTAGAACTAGGTAGGTATGTATACAGATTTCTCAAATTTCCGCAGAAATCTCCGCAGAAATCGCAGACTACACACTCCTTCCCATCTTCCATCCTCAGTTCATCCTCAGTTCATCCTCAGTTCATCCTCAGTTCATCCTCAGTTCATCCTCAGTTCATCCTCAGTTCATCAGCCCGAAACCCAATCCTCAAGAACCCATCCTCAAGAATTCATCCCCAATAATCCACTAACCATCCATCAACCATCCATCAACCATCACCCAAACACATTCATCCCAATACACAATCTAATCACACCACACCACACAACAACACAACATACTACAATTCCAACCCAATCATCCTCACTATTCATTCTAAAAACTTACCCAGTAACAGATAATACCTAGATAATACCTAGATAATACCTCCAGCTAGATAAAATATAATCCTATCTAAATAAAAAATCATTATAACAAATAGGAGATCCCCACGACCCGATATCACCATAAGACTCCTGGAGATATCTACTCTAGTATCCCGAGGTCTTCAAAACGAAATCCCTCCCTCTTGGAGAATTATTTTAGTATCCATGGATGACTATGACTATGACTATGACGATGACGATGACGATGATGATGATGATGATGATGATGATGATGATGATGGTGATGATGATGATGATGATGATGATGATGATGATGATGATGATGATGATGATGATGATGATATTCTTATAGTAAGTACATCCATCTGTGTCTTTCAGATAGTTTATTTATCAAACAGTCTATCTATCAGTCTATCTATCAAATCCACACCATCCACACCATCCACACAATCCAAATACCTCTCTCTCCCATCTCCCATCTCCTCCCATCTCCTAATCTCCTATCTCCTATCCTCCCATCTCCCATCTCCTCCCATTCATCTCCTCTCCACTTCCTCCAATATCAATATCAATATCAATATCCATTATGAACCCATCTACCACCTACCACACCATCTATCCATATTACATCCAGCACCCAACCATCCATCACCCAACCATCTCACCAACTACTCGCTCCTCTCTCGCACACACAATGAGAATTTTTTTTTTGATAGGCATATAATATAAGGTGTATGGAATTTAATTTCATTCATTCATTCATTCTTGACCTATCCATCTACCTAGGTACTATTCACAGATCCACTATTCACATAACTATCCATTTAACTTTTCACTTCATCACCTAGGTATCTACCTACTCAATGTTCCTTTGAACATCAATCCATCACTCCCCTCAATCACTCATCCATCCACATACCAAAAATATATCCATCTATCCATCCTTCTCTCGCATTCTCATTCTCATTCTTATTTTATATCTTCAACAATCTGATCCAATCCACATGAAAAGCCAACCCAACCCAACCCTTACATCTCATATCTCATATCTCATATCTCATATCGCATATCTCATATCTCATATCTCATATCTCATATCTCATATCTCATCTCTCATCTCTAGCATCCTCTCCTTCCCCTTCCTCAAACCCTCTCAAACTCAACCTCTCAAACGCAACCTCTCAAACTCACCTCTCAAACTCAACCTCTTCAACTCAACCTCTCAAACTCAACTCTCAACTCAACCTCTCAAACTCAACCTCTCAAACTCAACCTCTCAAACTCAACCTCTCAAACTCAACCTCTCAAACTCAACCTCCCAAACCCAACCCTCAACCTCCAATCCCCCCAAAACAGAATCAAAATCAAAATCAAAAACTCTCAAAAACTCTCAAAAACAAAAACAAAACTCAATACTCAATACTCAAAACTCAAAAAAACCACACCATATCTTCCCAACCCCGGGTATATATGCAAAGCCAAAGCCAAACCAAACCAAACCAAACCATGCAACATGCAACATGCAATCCCAATCCACTCCAATGAAGAACCCCCCGAAAAGCAAGAATGAACTAAAAAATGCAAATGAAAATACCACTCCAATGCCTTGAGATATAGATAAACGGTACTATAAACATGGAAAGATCCAACGTATGACTCTAGAAGATAATAAAAGAAACAAAGCAAGAAAAAGGGAAAAAACATAATATCACCACATCACCTCGCTCACTGAACATCCAACCACGAACATCACAAATTCACTCACACCATCCCATAAAGCGTCAAAACATAACATAACATGAATTCGTCTTGCAAAACAATATCGATCACCAGTTATTCGAATTGTAAGCCACTGACTGAGTAATCCAGATAACGTTGAAGGTAAATGTTTGTTGAATATTCATTCCTATTTACAAAATAAAGTGTTTGTGTATAAAATAATCGGGATTTCGCATCCAGTTCCAGTCAAAAATCATCCATGGAAGTTACAAGCGAAGCCGTCTCGTCGTCGTTTTTTCGATCGATCGATCACGGGTTCCCGATAGGCTTTCTTCCAATTCCTCTCAAACTCCAGAAGAAGGGGGTATATCTCATCTAAAATAAAACACTCTTCTACCAGAGAGAGGAAAGAGAAAGCCTGACAGTTCAAGAATAGAAAATAGTTATAATGTGCTTTTTTTTCCGCAATAGATTTATGCAGAAAGCATGTATGGGTCATTAGTACCCGTCTTGCCAGCCATGAGTAATCCCAATTCACGCATACGTTCAGCTCCCTTGCCAGGTTGAGGTCTACGCTCTGGTTGAGCTTTACGTGCACGATTGGCGCAATGCTTTTGATAAAACTTCTCCTTTCGTCTTTGTCGCTTTTGCTCAAGACCTTTGACAATGTCGATTGCTCCTCGTAATGGTCCATCACCATCATCCTTTGCTGCGATCTCATTGGCTGCAGCAATGCGATTAGCAGTATATTGACGACAGAAGGCATTTGGTGTACGAGGAAGAGACTTGGTGTGAGTCAATCCTGGTCTAGATCCTAAGGGTGCGAACTTGATTGGCCTACTTCCGCTTCCTGAAGGTGATCCAGGAGGAGAGTGGATTGCACGTGCTGGTGGTGGAGATCGTAAATGTTTTGGAGATTCATTGCCAAACAACTTGCGGGGAGGAGGTGATTGAAGACGTTTCTTGGGTGGTGGAGATCGGAGACGCTGCTTGGGAGGTGGAGAGCGAAGGCGTTGTTTTGGTGGTGGAGAATGTAATCTTCTTGGAGAGTGACCAGGAGATTTACGAGATCTTGAACGACGACGTTCCGAGTCAGAATCTTCAAACTTTCCTTGCATCCAAACATGTTCGTCACTCTCGATTGTCTTTGCGGCATCGTCTTCCTCATCTTCTTCATCCTCGGGATCAGAGGTTGGGAAAGATGGATCAATGTCTTGAGGAGTGGCGATGTGCTTGGCATATTTTCTGGCTGTCATGCAAGAGACGTAAGCATCTTCAAGAGGACGATCCTCATCAAGTGTTCCACAAACAAAGTCGGTACTATCAGGGAGATCTGGAGTTCCTGGGCGGATCTTGATGCTGTGAGTCTTCTTTGGTCTTCGCTTTCCTCTCGACAACTCTCTTATAGGAGCTTCACCATTAAGGGATTCGATGGATGATGCTGATGCAGTACGGTTTGCAGAGGCACGATAAGTGCTGATTTCAGTATTGATGATTGGGAAACGAGCTTGTTCCAATCTGCCAGGTGTCCAGAAATTAAAATCACCTTCGGTATCGTCTTCGTCATCGGAATCAGCGAAACCCGCTTCGTTATCGGTCTCATTTCCGTCTGTGAAATCCTCATCAGAGTAAACACGATCAGTCTCATCATCCTCATCATCTTCCTCATCCGAGCCATCTTCGTTATCGGAGTCGTTTCCATCATCAAATTCCTCGTCGTCATCTTCCTCCAAAGCTTCTTCCTCTGCTTCTGACCCAAGTCTGCGGATCTCAATCTCTTTGGCAAGGGTATCGCTGATAGTGATTCGGGCCTTGGGGACTTCTTCATCTTTGCGGATCCAGTCATCCTCTTCTAGACCTTCACTGCAGAATTCGTGGAATCGGGCAGCTTCAGATTGTAGATCCTTTTCACCGGCAATGACATACCTTGGCTTACATCTAATTGCAACAGGACTCTGAGATGCACGTCTTACAGTACCCGTGGATTCGCGATGAGGACGAAGGGAAGATGTAGGGGTTGGTCTAGGTTTTCTAGAAGTAGATGGTGATCGACTCGAAACGCGTCTTCGTGCTGGTGGGGTATCTGCCAGAGCGAGTTTCGAATAAGATGTTTTCTCGGTGATTTCAACCTTCTCTGCCGGCTTTTCCGCGTGCTTTTCTGTGGGCTTGGAAGGACAAGCAAATTTAATGGTACATTTGCGTCTCAAAGCTTCGACAATAGGAGCTGCGGGTTCAAGAGGCCTCGCGACGGCAATCGCCGTTGGCTTGGGAGCGGGGTCCTTCTGCGCACCACAAGCGAAACTAATACAACGTTTCTTTGGAGCGGCCACGAGGGGTACCACTGGTGCTGCTTTCGGTGAAACGTGGAGTATTTCCGCGTGGACTGCGATGATTGGATCGGCCACTTCATGAGATACGACTGGAGCAGGTGGAGGATATGCCGATTTCCGGCCCATTGAATAGTATGATGTATTTGGGAATGGTGGGCTAGGTGTATTTGTGCGAGCAGGACTTGTAAAGCCCCCATCGCTGGTAAGCTCGGCGGTAGATGCGAGACTGGCTGTACTCATCAAGGATCGTCGGCGCATTAGGTCGGTGGTGATATGTATTTCGGATTTTTGTATCTCGGGTTCTGTGATGTGTAAACCTCTTGTGATCAGGGACTCGGCGCGATCAGTTTTAGGACAAATGGGAGCTTTGGTGAATTCCTTGGCCTGTAGTTCAGGAGGTTCATCGACATCTGCAGGTATTATTTCTTCGTCGCCAGTTGTCGACATATTTGAAGTGGACGTCGCTTGTGGACGCCAAGTTAAAATATCTTGCCCCTCCATGGTAAAAATGGGATCGTGATTGGGCTTTGATGTGAATGTATAATTAAGTAGGTAATATAAGTAGGATCGAGTGTTGGAATATGGTCCTTTGGGAAAGGGTCGTTATATGTAAATCGGAAAGTGGTTTCCGAGGTGGTTGCAAGACCTCGAATTGAAGAAAAAAGGTCGCGGTTTGTGGTTGAAGATGGTGAAATTGGAATGAAGTGAAACAATCGAGTACTCTTTAGAAGCCTCGGTGTATTGGAAATTGGTAATGAATCAAAAAGGTAGAGGAACTCAAGTATCTTTCCCGATCAAAAGACAAAGGTCAAGGAGGACCGTTGAATTAAAGCGTCCCTGAGGGACCGTATTGCTATAATTGTGGAAAAAACATTGTATTCAAATCCAGTTATTATTCCAGGTTACTGCGACGAAAGCAATAAAAGGAAAGGCAAGCAACGACGTGTCTTCTCTTCCTCGACGGAAGGAAGGATTGAATTTTGTTGTTGTTGTTTTTGTTGGTGGAAGAGAAGAGAGTGGTGGTGGTGGTGGTGGTAGTAATATGGGGATGAAGTTGGTTTCCACCTAAAGTATTTTGATCGATGGTTCGTAAACAGACCTCTGCTTTGGTGGATATGGAAGACAAAAGGTATCAAAGTATCAAGGACCAAGTATCCAAGGATGGAAAGAGGTGAAGGAGGTGAAGGTTAAGGTTGATTGTTGTTTTGAAATTGTTGGAGATTTATTGGGGGGAAGGCTGTGGTATTATAAAATGACGTTCAAATAAGGGCTGAAAGATCAACTTTTTCAGGGTTGGTCTTTCACACAAATTGAATCAAAAGTTTTTTATTTGATTTGATTTTGATCCGTGTACTTGATTTGATTTTGATCCGTGTACTTGATTTGATTTTAGGCCGTGTAATGAAATAATCAAAATAATCAAATGATAAAAGATGAATAAGACTGAGTAACGTTCCTTGATGTGGATAAGAAAACAAACACAGCCTTATTTTTGTCTCGGGTTTGGTGTTGTTTTGCCACTACCTCGATTTCCCCAAAGAAGTATTCAAGGTCAAACAAGAAATGAGAATCAAGAAATAAGAATCAAGAAATAAGAATCAAGAATATGAGACTTGATATCATGAGAGGCTCTTCTTTCTCCTGGGAGTCCTGGGAGTGTCTTAATAAGAGAGAAGAGAGGGAGATCTTGTTGGTTGGTGATTATGCGAATATGTATGTGAGTGTGTGAATGTGTGAATGTGCAAATATGCAAATGGATGAAAAAAGATAGGACGTGCGAAGTAGTGGATGGGTGGTGGGTGGATGGTGGGTGAGTGGTGGGTGAGTGGTGGGTGAGTGAGTGGGTTTTATTAGTGGATTATAAGAGATGATATAGGAATAAAGTAGATTTGGAGGTACCTAGGTATGTATACGGAGGACCTGGTAAATCACGAGAAAGAGAGAGAGAGGTATGGATTGAAAGACGAGGAGAGTAAGAGAGAAAGAGAGTTAAAGAGTAATGAAGAACAAGAGAATACTAAGGAAATACTAGATGAGTATTATAATATCATTACTGAATAAATAAAGTGTAAATTGAGATACAATCTGATCTGGAATGGATTAGCGCATTGAATAGCGGTTTTCCTTTTTTCTTTTTTCTTTCCTTTCTTTCTTCTCTCTCAAAGAAAAAAGAGTTGAGATTCGGAGAATGAGTGGGTTGATCTTTGGGTTTGGGTGGTAATCCCTAGTATTATTATTATCATCGTACTTCTTATTATTACCTACCTAGCACAGCTACATTTACCGTTGGCGGGTTACGGGTTACGGCTTGCGGCTTGCGGCTTGTAACTTCAATCTTTTGTACTAATATTTTGTTGAGTGGGGGTTCTTTTACTCTTGATTGTGAATGAGTGGTGAATACAGTAGAACTGGTCTATAACTCGCTCGCTTTAAATTTACTCTTTTCTCCTTTGCTCTTGATCTTGTTCTTGATCTAACTTGACTTGCCCTGCTTCGGTAGTTCTTAGAAGGCCATGCATTTAACTTGGTGGCTATCGACCATGGAAAAGCTTGTCCGTCCATCGTCCAGAGGATAGAGTAACCCATTCAAATTATATCATCATCACATCCGTCCTCCCTATACCAGTCCTAGTCCCAGTCCCAGGACCGCTATCCATTCAACATCGAAAAAGGAGATGTCGTTGTCGAAGGGGTCAAAGTGTCTCAAGGCATACAGAGTTCAGCGTGCACCTGTATGAGATGAAATCAGATGAGTCTGGAACTTCCATGGTTCAGATCGATAAACTATCACTTTGACCATGACTGGAACTTTATTACCATCGCGCCATTCTCTCGTCCTTCCATTCTTCTTCCATCGAAGGTCTAGGATTTCCTGAGTGATACCTCGGGACTGTCAATATCGGAGAACGTGTCTTGAAGAATACTTAGACACATACTCCGTACATGCAAATTTACACATGTAGATACATACATACACATATCGTTTACAATACAGTACAGTATAGTACAGCACAGTACACTCACTCACTCACTCACTCATACCATGCCACGCATTGTGGTTGTATCTATCCTATGTGCTATGGTACTATGTATATGTACTCTGTACTCTGGACCTACCTACCTAGGTACTTGCTATCATATCATATCATAAACACCAATGACAGCTGCACATCTATCATATTCTCCCCCCTTCCCCAAAGAAAGATCCCGCGTTCTGTATCCTTCCTCCTTCTATCTTTAACAACCTTACATCCATCTAACTTCCCATGGTCGATTTTGGTGGTGCAGTTCAGCAGCGGTTGTTGTTGTTCAAATCGAAAAGTGGATCTGTTCATAATATCTTCCATCCAGTAGTCAGCCCATGAAATTAGAGCATCGACTCCGTAGCACATCGTATGTACGTATTACTAGGTACAAATTACTATATTACCTACTCCTCCGTACAGTAGTCCTTCCAGCTTGCTGACATGTCTCGAGCTTGCTTGCTTGCTTGATTGTGAATGCCATGCCTCTAATGGATTGATATACATTTTCCCGCTCAAGGCAGTAAAAATGCCAACCGCTCCACGAGCAAATGGGTAAAGGATCTCAAACATTCCCGAGCAAAATCATCAAAACTCGTCGTATTCTCACACCTAGAGGTTTACGTGACGACCTAAGGTTTTCAATAACTTGTGATAGTGAGGTATCAGCCAAGCAAAAGCCCATCTTACTGCACGCCCGTTGATCCAACCGTCCGTACAGGATACAGGAAAGATGTACCTACATCATGTAACTAAATCCCAGAAAAGAATCAAGAGAACAAAAGAATAACCAATAAACCAGTAAATCAATAAATCAATCAACAAATGAAAATGTCCGGCAAGCAATAAACTGGAAATGAGGATTGAACATAAACATGAAATTTCCCACCCGCTCTTGGGGGGGCATTTTTCATTAGGGGACGGCCTGAATTCGGAGAGATTGAAATGATTTTTCGTCAACCAATCCAATCCCCCCCCTGAATTTTTTTTTATTTATTTATTTATATTAATTAACGTCGCTTTTTGGACCTCCCTAAGGGTATTTAGACGTGCTAAGATAGGAAACTATTTGAGCGGCGTGATCGTCGCGACTCTCCCCCCCCTGAAGAATTTCACGATATATAATTTGACGATTCCGTTGATTTGGCTCGTTCGTTACAACCCACCACCAGTCAGTTCCGTTTACCACTTTTATTATTGGATCATCTTCAATTCTCGTCTTCCCCAAATCGGTCTATCCGATGAATAATTTTCTTTATTTACGGAGTAAGTCGGTTACCCTACTTTCGGGCCACCCCTGTTTTGGGCCACTTTTCGATCACTTTTCACACCAAAAATGGAATTTCTAACTTTTTTATTTATGGATAGAATACATTGAAAATTTATATATATATAATTCAGATCATTTTGAATTTATTCTGAAATTTTTAGATTTTTAGGATTTTTCTGTATTGAGATCTAGAGCTTTAAAATATCGATTTTTTAATTTGTATGGGAATCACATACAAATTTGAAAATTTTATAAAATCTTTAATTACTTTCTAATAAAAATTGCTAAAAATAAATTATAAAATTTTATTATAAATTTATAGTATATTTTATTTAAAGGATTCAGAAAAAATAGAAAATTTCTTATAAATAAATATTTAAAGGGGTATCTTCAAAATGATAGGGATTATTTATACTATTCTAAACTCACTGTATATTATATCTCTATATCTATTGATTTTTTTGATTTTTTTTTTGAATTTCTATATAGATTTGAACTCAAAACTTTCAAAAAGATATATAGTTTTCTTTTAATAGTTGTTGTTAAAAAGTTATTAAAGATTTTATAAAATTTTCAAATTTGTATGTGATTCTCATATAAATTAAAAAAATCGATATTTTAAAGCTCTAGATCTCAATACAGAAAAATCCTAAAAATCTAAAAATTTCAGAATAAGCTTAAATCGATCTAAATTATATATATATAAATTTTTATCAAATTATATTATATATTGATAGAGATATTAATAGGCCTAAAAAGTGATTTTTGGTGTGAAAGGGTGGCCCAAAACCCTGGTGGCCCGAAAGTAGGGTAACCGACTTACTTCAAGTCATCACATAACAACATAACATAACAACACAGCATAACAATATGTACGGAGTATATGACATAAACAACCTTGGAAGTGTTCAATCAAATTCTTCCTCTCCTTTTCTTTGTTCTCTGATTAGGAGCTGGGTGTCACATTCAAACTTATTCCGCATTCCCATTTCCCATGACTTGAAATGACAGGAAATGACACTTACTCATCAATCCAATCACTCATTTGCATCCATCCTGTGATTCCTCCTCTTTGCCCTTCTGTCCGCCATGCAATCATCTATCTACGCTTGATTGTTCAATTCACAATCACGTTCACAATCCTTGTTGGAGTCTACCCCAAATCAACAATTGAGTCTTCCCGCCCCTATCTCTAATATAAATCACAGCTTGACCAATTGCATATAATCTATCGTGAGATAAATCTATAAACTTATCATATCATCAAATTACAACACCAGCAACCGCGCAAAATCGAAATAATAAGAAACGAAAAGCACCATAGTGGATTCGTGCACCTCTTGGCGCGCAGGCAAAAAGTCCACCTTACGGCAGGACTTCCGTCTAATCACGCTCCAAACTGACATAAATCCGCGGGCAGTGCAGGGATCCATCCATTCATGGTGTCCCTTGCGGGGACCATGCTCTTTGCTTTCGTGTGAAACGCGAACCTACCACGCCTACCAGCCTCCTCCATCCAACATCTCTCCTCGACTTCTTTGTTGCGAACGTGGGGGTTGTGGATTCGGATTCTTCATCTGATCAGTGATGATACACTAGCACTCTATGGTTTTAACCAAACCTTGCCTTGCACTTTTACTTGGAAATCGTTTCAAAGTGCTCGTCATATTCCGCATTGAGGTACGAAGGGTCTATAAGAAACGTGCTGGCAAAAAGTATATCTTGCATCGCGCAAGGCAAGTCATGTCACACACAGTCATCTTTGTCATTTAATGGAATCCTGGATCCGATCAGATAGATGCGCTCGGGATACCTTCACCTGGCAAAAATCCCCACCTTACCGTCAGGTTTATTGGGATCAAAGGGATTGGAACGGTCCTCACACTGACGACATCTTCGTTTCCGTAATACCAAATGGCATACCTGGTAAGTAATCAAAGTATCAATCGTGGGTGCCGGAGTAATACCCCTCAATCGGATGAGGAGAATGAACCAATGAGAATCCTGTCATGTAAGTTGCAACTAGGATTTGACCGCTGGATTTCCATAAATTACCCCACATTCGACGAAAGGGTTTACCCCCTCCTGAAAGAGCGAAGGCTTTGAAGTAACAGAAACGTGTCCGGATTTCTATATCTTCCATTCATAAAGCCAAAGAACAATTGGATGAAAGGGAGGGAGATGTAATACTCGGACGATAGCTGGTGAGCCTACCCTGCATTGACAAGCAAACAGCTTTTTGATCCGTGGTTCACTGTTCGCTTCCGGGAAGTTTAAGCAAAGGATTAGTAGGATAGCTTGGAATAGGGTGCCAAAAGCTATCTGTGCAACCCTCTCCTACATACGCGATGATATTACTTTCATCTATTATCTTCTCACCGCTGTAAAAATCGGCAATTGGGTGTTGGCATAACATTGATCAAACATCTTGGCGTTTGTGCAGTGTGCTGGCTCACCTCTTGAGTGGCGATCAAGTGATGAAAATTTGATATATGGAAACTGAAGAAAAAGAAGGAAGCTGAGTAAGTAGGCTCTTACTGTACACCTTCTAGATCATCTGACAGTTCATCATACTTCTCACTTGTGTTTCTACCAACTGTGCCCAAACATCCACCGGTTTCATCGTCAGCATCGACATCTGATCCAAAATTATACATACCTACATACATACCTACCTACATACATACCTACCTACATACATAGAGAGAACGTCCGGAGTACACCGCTGCCTACCCCTTCACATCCTTTCGCTTGACTTGCCTCTGCGTTTTTAGGGGTTAGAACTTAGATCTCATCTCATACCCAACAACCTAAATTCACCGCCCTACGAATCCTGCAAACACAAGGCCAAAAATAGGTCAAATCACGATCGCATCTGAATCAAAATCCATCAAAATGCCTTTCAAAAAACGCAGTGAGAGGGTGTGGCATGCTCATCTGACAAACCGTGCCATGCCCTTCTTCCAGCAGAAATTACAACATCTATGGCGATACGATCTTCATGTTCGTAAGTTAATATCCTGTGATGATCCGTTTTATGTCTCTCAAGTAGGTAGTCGGTAAATGAAATTTCGCCGTGAAGAAACAGTTTTTCTCTCGAATAAATTGAGTTTCGGACTCTTGGGGGCCTTGGTGAAACCGATTCAAGGGACGAATATCCAGATTGTAAATGCCTTGGTGATTCAACGGTGGGCATGGGCAGTGCATTGGCATAAAAATCTTATGTCGTGCCACACCCGCTGAGAAGCTTGGCTTGTTTGCTTAGGTATCTCGATATGGATGTGTAGATTTGGGTGGAAAAATCGTCGCAAATGAATCAATGATCCCGTCTATCACATTTCACAGGGAGGGAGGTATTGAGTTCGTCATTTTGATTCAATTTTACTCTGGGCAGTACAGTACAGTATCAATCCAGATCGCGAGAATAAATCTTAACACGGTGTAAAAAGTAATACAACACTCTGTAATGTAATTCGTATGTAATATGTAATACTCAGTAAAGATGTAAAGATACTCTCATCCACACAGATCTACACATTCCATTCCCTCCTCCGGGTGCTTCATCCGATCGGGTTATTAACGGGGAACTACCCCCATTTAAAATTTTTGGGGAGGAATGGATATTCTGTATTTGAGCATTTTGATTTGATTTGTTCTTTGGCATCTTTGATGGGATCTTTGATGGGGGGAGGTTCAAGGTTCATTGATCCAACTAACCTGGAAGCTTCATTCATTCATTCATGAGTTTGCATTTGCATTTGTATTTGCATTGAGACTAGCCTCGTATATGAGGGATTAATTTTGACCAGTGGAATGTTCAGGGATGGATGGGTGATGTGGTTTTTTGCATGTGTACAGAGTAGGAAGGAAGTATAGTGTATAGTGTATAACTGGAGTGCGAAGTAGTACCTACTGCATTGGATAGGTAGGTGGTGAAGTGGCTTGATATTTGAAGGTGCGTCCGTATTTCCGCACTTCGGTGCGAAATGTTGGTGGCTTGGGGTGGATGGGGGAGTGTTTGGAGATTTCGTTCCGTGCTTGCTTGCTTGCTTGGTGGATGGATGGACGGTGGACCTGGGCCTGGGTGTATAGTACTTGCTTGGGGTTTGGGTTGAACTTTGGTACTGGGGTGTTGAAAGTTGAACCTGGGAATGCAATGCCTACCTAGGTACTTTGAGGGTAGCGAGCGAGAATGGATGGATGGATGGATGTTTGGTTAGTAAGCGGATGAGTATCATATTGCACGTGATGTACGTAAGATGGAATGATGATGATGATGATGATGATGATGATGATGATAAAAACTCGTGATCTACAGCACGTGAGTGCACATCAGAGCTCGAAATTAATTCTCGCTCATTCCAATAATGAGAAGCTTCTCAGAATCAATCAAGAAATCCATCTAATCATCTATCATATCCCCACCCCAAAATTCCCACTTCCAAAAAGTCCCCAACACGTGACTCTCAATCAAAGCTAAAGAAAATAAGTTAGCGAAAGGCATCCCGACATCCACCAGCAAGCTCCCGCCGCAATCACCCCCCCCCTCGTAGAATACCCACGTCACGCCTTCAATTGATACACTCGACCCGTCCATCAATCATGAACTCTATGCGTTTTGCTCGCGCCGCTCTGCGGGTTCGTCCTACGGCTTTGAAAACTCCTGTTTTGCGCAGAGGGTATGCTGAGGCTGTTGCGGAGAAGGTCGGGAATTCCCGTTTCTGGTTTTTTTTTGTTTGGTTGGGGGAGGGAGGATGGGGATGGGGATGGGTTTTTTGTGAAGTTTTTTGTGCTGACTTGGCGTGGTGTCTGTAGATTAAGTTGAGCTTGGCTTTGCCTCATCAGGTATGTTGGGATTTTTGTTTGTTTTGTTTGTGGTTGGAGGAGGAGGGGGAGGGGGGAGGGGGATGGTTGGTTGACGGGGTGCTGGATGAGATTGGATGGGATGGGATGGATGAGATTGGATGGGATGGGATGGGATGAGGGGAGATGAGGAGAGGAGGACGTGATTTCTGCGGATAGATGGATTGGCAGATGGGCCTATAGGAAGAGATTGGCTAACACATAAATCTGCAGTCTGTTTACAGATCCCAAGATGTCGTCCAAGTCAACATCCCCGCCGAATCCGGTGAAATGGGTATCCTCGCCAACCACGTCCCATCGATCGAACAATTGAAGCCAGGTCTCGTTGAGGTTATTGAGGAGAGTGGTGGAAGCAAGCAATTCTTCCGTACGTCATACGACAATCATCCTGGAGATATTTACAACTTGAGAGAGAACATGAAAGGCTAATGGGGCATTGAAACAGTTTCCGGAGGATTCGCAGTCGTTCAACCAAACTCTTCATTAAGCATCAACGCAGTCGAGGGATTCCCATTGGAGGATTTCAGCGCAGATGCAGTTAGGTCACAAATTGCTGAGGCTCAGAAGATGTTGGAGGAAGTGGAAGTGAGCAAGATATCGCTGAGGCTAGATTGAGTTGGAGGTGAGTTTTTGATCTTCAGATCTTGGATGTGGATATGAGATTGGGACTAATACTAACATATAGGTTTTGGAGACCTTGCACAGCACACCTCAAGTAGAGAAATTACTCTACCTTGGTGATGGTTAGATGATAGAGACCTGCACAATGTACATCAGTGAACTATTTTTTATTGCGTTGTGTGAAACGAATACCATAAGCTTGTTCAATTGATAAGCCTGGTCAATTTTATACCCTCATCACCAATTTTGATTTGTATTTTTTGCTATATGTTGATGGGTTCAATGATTATGGGAAAATGAACATGTAAATTTGATGATAAGCCATAAATGCTGACCATGGCTACTGACGGTTGGTTGTTCTTGCCTTTCGGCCGTTGTGTTCCTCCCAACGAGATTTGTTTGTTTCAACTTAAGTACTCGATCTTTATCTCCATGTTCATTTGTACCTCCATCTTTATTTTCCTATTAGGGTTATCCTCTTTCTTGCTTCACACCACTCATCAGTCGCATTGCCTGGCATTCATTCGTTACAGTCATCTTTACATTTCAGCATTAGTCCCGAATTCAATGTATCCTAGAAACCTTCCCTTGCCATGAACTATCCTGGCGACCCGCTGCAGCTCTCAATCCACACGCCGATTCTGCGGGCTTCCAAATCATCCATGCCTCGTGATCAACCCCCCTCTCGCAATCTTCCCATCAACGCGGGAACCGTCGCGTCACGTATCCTCTCCCTCCAAAAGCTCGCGGGCACCCCGAAAAATAAATCGCCCCCGAAACCTCCTTCCCGCTTCCCACCCACCCGAGCGTCGTCGAACGGTAGACGCGAGCGCAGCACTAATTCACCTCGGCGATCGCGTTCCCCGCTGCGGATTCGTCCCACGTGGGAGAGCAGACGTGAAAATTCTCGCTCGAGCTTTGGACGTCGCGCGACGAATCTTTTGGGAATCCGGCGTCGAGAAATTCCGCAGCCCGTGAACAGTTGCAGGCGGGGACGAGTCATTCGTTTTTGGGGTTGAGGATTCCGAGGGGAATTGTGAGGTGGGGTTTTGCGAGAGAGGGGAAGGGGGGTAGGTCGAAGGGGGGAGGGGGGTGGGGATGGTGGTTTCTTCGTTGAGGGGGTTGTTGAGGGAAGATGTGATGGGTGGGGGATGGGGTCCTGTTGTTGATACTTTGAAGATGTCGAGGATGGATTTGGGGAGGAGGATTGATGGCCATGAAGTAGATTTGGATAGGGGCGCTCAGAATTTGGGGGGCAATTTACGGCTCCACGCAAGCACCGTCTACTGCTCAATTAAGTTATGGACAGAACCGGACATTGAATCCTCCTCGTCAAAAGGAGAAGACGCGGCAAGATGAAACGTCTAATTCTGAGGTTTCTATGCGTACAACGTCTACACTTCGGCGGCAGAGTGTTCGAGATTTGTTTGATAAACATGTATTGAAAGACCACCTGGACTCGCATCATCCGAAGTGGGGAGGGAAGAAACCAATAAACCTCAGAGACATCGCGTCTGTCATCTTTGCATTTGGATTCATGATAAGAATGAAAACACCTGTTGGAATGTGGTCATCGATTATGCAAAGCTTGTGACAGACTTCTGACATTTCAAATGGAGGCAAAGATGCAAGTTTTGATTACAATCGAGTGTTCCTGTTGATCGGAAAGAAGCATCGAAACCAGTACATTATGTAACGACACCTCGGCCATCAAAAGGCCAATTTTAAAGCAATCTTTGTCGAAACCTCTGCCGATTCCAATACAAATGAGAAAGAAGGAGGTCGCTCCGACGGAGCCTTTTCCGCCATTCTATTCTGAGAAAGCTCCACCACAAAGCTTGAAACCTGGACCTGGGTTAGATTCAACCAATTATGGACCATCAAAATCGTGTCCTGGTATTTACAAATCCGAGCGCTCCCAAAATCTCTCAGCTCAATCTGAAGAAGCCTCTCAAGAAAGCTCCATACTTTCCACACCAAATTCTTCCTGTCAGTATGTCACCAACAAACATAGATCTGAGTCAGGATTGTTGGAAACGCACGACTGCAGATGCGAAAGCTGTCAACAAGTCAATCATAGGAGTTTCGTCTGCCGACATTCTACTTCTCAATCACTTGCCCGAAGTGAGGATATTATAGCTATGGATGGTCGGTATGCAGCTAATAGTATCAATGATGAAAACATCTATCGCTCGCATTCTTATCCCGACTCCTCTAAAACTTCACAGCTCTCTATGAGATTATATCGATTATTGAATGGACAAGTACACCGAGTAATGCAAGTCAGCCATGAATCGGACCATGTAGAAATCCCACGGACGTCGATGAGGCCAGATCCATTTTTGAATAATACAATCCGTCGGACTACACAATCTACCCATAGAGTGAACTGCAGAAGCCGCACAGAAAACACACAGGGGTCAGAAAGCGCATGTCGTATGTTCAATGGGTCGACCTATCAACCTGTACAACCCAGTTTCACAATGGATAATATGGAAAAGTCGAAACTCCTAGATAACTATTATCCATTTCTCAATGATTCGAAACATGGAAAACGTTCGTCGAGATATGGATCGGATTATGTAGAATGTCGTGGGTATCCTAGGACTGGTCATGGGCATTGCGATCGCAGTCCTGTTAGTTCGGGTATCTTAGGGGATTGCCAACACTGTCTTGATGATTGTGAGTGTTCTGCGTGCCAGAGCACAATTCACAGTGTTCGATGCTGCACAAATGGAGTTCATAAACCCATGATACATCTTCATCGCAGTCCAGCAAAGGTTTCCCTAAATGATGCGTTCAATTCGAATCATGGACATCCCGGCTCAACGCGGGAACGGAAATCCTATATCTTATCTCGCTCGCAGACTTATGATCGTTCCACGGTCCATAAATATGATAGTGTTTCGGAATGGTTGGGGAGTCCGGATGAGCCTTCGCCACCTCGAAGATTTGATACTCCGACTAATACGCCTTCGAAGACTCTTCATCTTCCGAAGAATAGTTCGTCTTTTGCTGTTAAAGAAGCTAGGGATTCGTTGTTGATGGCTCGAACTCCTTCCCCTTGGACTTCATCATCGATTATCCTGAAAGATATAGCACCGCTAATGAAGGAAACTTCAAGAAAGCTTCAGAAAATTCTTGCTCGAAAATAATCGTAAACTCAAATAGGCCATCCTCAAGTGATGGTACGAGAGATAAATCCGTAGTACCCGCAAGATCAAACCCTCGTTTTCCTACCAACTCTTCTCCAGGGTACTTTTCATCTAATCCTTGGCGAGATAAAGAAGAGGTTAATTTTTCCAAAAAACATCTTGATTGGAAACATGTGTTGAAACCTCCACTGCAGAAAGTCGCTAGACGTTCATCGGATTGCGCAACCTCGGATATTTGTGGACAAGCGGGTTGGGCGGATCGGAGACGCGAGAGCGAGGAATCGATTTCGCGGAGGGTGAGGAAGGAGAGGTTGAAGCGGGAAGAGGTGAGGAGTAAGGTTCAGAGGTGGGAGGATAGGAGGTCGCAGAGTAGGAGGGTGGGGGATAGTTGGGGGTGGTGGTGGTGGTGGTGGTGGTGGTGGTGTTAGTGCTAGTGCTGGGGCGAGTGACATGGTAACACCGGTTAGTGCGGGGGGGTATTTTGATGCGCAGATGAGGTGGTTGTCGAGTGGGAGTGAGAGGGGGAGGGGGAATGGTTTGAAAGGGGTTATGGGGTCGATTGTGGAGGAGGAGGGGGATGGGGGTGGGGATGGGGAGTTTGAGGGGCGAGGGGGGGGTAGAGATGATGATGATGGTGAGAAGCATGACTGTATTTGGAAAAGGAGAGTTTTGGGGTTTGGTAGCAAGAGTCTAGATTGTGGATTGAGAAATAGAAATACAGATAAAGCTTTGGGAGAGGAGGGAGTAGAAGGGGTGAGTGGAGTTAAGGGTGTTACGATTGTGATTTCATATGGAGAATGGAAAGGATTTGGTTTTGAGGACAAATTGTCAGGGAGGTTGAGTTGGGAGGGGTTGGAGAGGTTGTTAGGGGGTGAGAGGGGGGTTGAGGGTTGAGGAGGTGGAAAGGGTGGAAGGGTGGAAGGTGGAAGGGGGTATGATAGTTTGTTTTAGGTCATGAGATGGATACCTATATTGATGGGTTGGGATTTGGGAAGGGAGTATGTTTTTTTTGGTTGGAGTGGGTTTTGGGATGGGGTGGGGGTGGGGTTGAGGTGGTGGAGGAAGGAAAGGGGGAGAAATGAAATGGGGGAGGAGGAGAGTGTGATTTTTAGGTACGGGATGGATGGATTACTGGTTTTTTGGGTCATTGGTTTGTTGTCTCACTGGATATGAATAAAGTTGGAAATTGGAAATTGGAAATTGGAAATTGGAAATTGGAAATTGAAAGGGACTTTTATTTTTTGGGAATAGAGATATTGATGGGATTGGTGATTGGTGACTAATGAATAGGTAGTAAGTATTCTGTGCTGGCGGATTTGTGTTTGGGAGGATAGAGGATAGAGGATAGAGGATTGGAAGGGTGGGGGAATTAGAAAAGAATTGATAGAAGGAGAATTGATAACTTTATGCCACACATATGAACATGTATATACAAGGTTACATGCACATATATGTGATTTTTGTTTGTTGTAGATTTTTTTTTTTTTTGAAATAAAAGAGATAAGGAAAATAGGGAAGATGAGGAAGATGAGGAAAGATGGATTTGATAATTAGCGATTTATTACATATTAGATATTATTGTAGTTGATTACTATCACGGAGGTAATAGCTATGTCTAATGGTCACTTTGATCAGGAGATAGGTATATAGAGTGATAATAAACTAGATTGACTTGAGGTGTGATCATAAGGATCATACCTGCTTTATATACCCTGATCAGGCGATGGAGTCGCCTAATTAGGTATATAGGGTACACAAATGAACTGAGTGAAATAGTTTTAGTAATCATGGGAATGAGTACTCCGGAGGAGTACTAGGATTAATACCGTAGGGTTACACTATACGGTGAATTCCGTGACAATTACATAATCTTTATTTATGGCTTTATTAAGAGTATTATTGTAATAATAGATATCTTTCTTTAAAGGTATTTTTATTTCTTGGTACCTACTATTCCTTTCTATCGTAGGTCATGAGCTAGTATATGAGTATTTAGTATAAATAGAATATAAGAGGGAATAGACCTAATATTAGTCTATTATGGGAAGCTGGCTCGTATTAACAACTAAATAGTTATGGAACACGTGATTTTCATGAAAATGTTGTCACGAGAGAATATGCCTATATAAACCCAATTAGCTTAATGCTCTTGGTGATATCACTTTTAGCGTGATAGTTATGAGCCCGGTATGCGTTTATAGCGCAGTGGCATAATTCTTCACTTTACCGTACTCTCTTGTAGTGGTTTTCTGTGGGCCCACTTATAAGAGGGTATTTCAACAGAACCACATTAGTCATCTGATCTTGGCCTATTAGAGCTAATGTGAGGACTCTGCTCTGTTGCCCCACTATTTTCCGCTCAGCCTATTAGATGTATCCAGGGAGAACCTAATACTAGTTGTATCCAATCAGAAGAGAACCTAGATTTGACATCATATGGAAATAGAAGGAGATCTGCGTATAACTCAATGAGGCTAGTACGGAGATTACTGCCCACAACCAACTAGTCAGCAATCTCGGGGGTGTGTCACGAGAGAATATGCCTATATAAACCCAATTAGCTTAATGCTCTTGGTGATATCACTTTTAGCGTGATAAATGTATATGATATTCTTATTTTCTTATTCTATATTCGAGGGGGAAAGGCCTTATTTTATGCTTTTTCCTACTAATCTAGCTTTCCACTTTCGTTTATCTTTTGTAGATCTCTTCCTAATCCGGCCATTCCTTCAAATAAAGCTTTTCTTTCTTATTCCTTATTCGATTTCGCTAGTACCATGTCGATCTTACTACGAATGAATTGAAAGAACTAATAAAGAATCGATTTTCAGGCCGTTCTGGGCTAAGAGCTCTTTTAAGCGATGATTACGTGATATTATCATGTGATCTGATCATGTGATTCGCTATTAGTATACTATATATGAATATAGAACTATATTATATATATATATATATATATATATATAAAAAGATATATTATTATATTATTTTTATATAAAAACAATACTTTCTAAAAATATTGTTATTAGTTATTATCGTAGGTCATGAGCTAGTATATGAGTATATAGTATATAAGAGGGAATAGTGTCACGGGGTGACACTAAGCCCTTTCTGTCCTGTCCTGTCCTGTCCTGTCCTGCTATATATGTGAGAGTAAGGTAGAACTTCCAGTTCTACCTCCTAGTCTTTTGAGCGTTTAGCTCAGCGGTAAAGCTTCTGAATACTTCTAGAGGTGATCCCGTAACATTAGGTAAAACTACCCTTAATTATAAGTGGAGCTGTGTGGGGAGCCCACTTATAGCTTACAAGCCTTCATTGGTTTGGGGGCTAGCATATATAGATCCTGTCTGCCTGTCTGAATGCCTGAAACATTAGAATCCAGAATCCTGAATCCTGAAACCTCCTAGTAGGTGATAGTATGAAGACCATACCTTAAGGAAGGGGATAATGTCACAAAATAACACTAAACCCTTTCTGTCCTGTCCTGTCCTACTATATATATAAAAATAAGATAGAACTTCCAGTTCTACCTCCTAGTCTTTTGAGCGTTTAGCTCAGCGGTAAAGCTTCTGAATACTCCCAGAAGTGATCCCGTGACAAATAGACTAATATTAGTCTATTATGGGAAGCTGGCTTGTATTAACAACTAAATAGCTATGAAACACGTGATTTTCATGAAACAGTATATTGATATTCTTATTTTCTTTTTCTATATTCGAGGGGAAAAGGCCTTATTTTATGCTTTTTCCTACTAATCTAGCTTTCCACTTTCGTTTATTTCTCGTAGATCTCTTCCTAATCCGGCCATTCCATCAAATAAAGCTTTTCTTTCTTATTCCTTATTCGATTTCGCTAGTAAGTCGGGTACCCCACTTTCGGGCCACCCCTCTTTTGGGCCACCTTAAAAAAGCTCACCGCAAGAAGGGACCTCTCTTATTTATTCTTTAATAACTTCACAACACTTGAATCAATTGATTTAAAATTTTGATATATCATTATTTACATTATGCCTAAAACATATACCGAAGTTGACATTAATTCGGCTTTACGTGCAGTGGTGAATGGGCATTCAATCCAACAAGCCGCTTCGGATTATGGGATTCCGAGGGTTACTCTTCAAAACCGTATAAATGGTCACCTATCTCATGAAAAAGGTGCGCAACATATGCAAAAGATAGCCCCGATGCAGGAGAAACGATTGGCAGATTGGATATTAGTCCAAGAGTCTTTGGGTACTAGTCCTACACATCGGCAAATTCGGGAAATTGGGGAGCGCCTCCTCGATATTAGAGGAGGTGATTCTACACTTGGGAAACGATGGGTTACGAACTTTCTTCGAAGGAATCCAGAGATTAGGACTAAAAGACAAGTTAGGATCGATTCAGCACGTGTCAAAGGTGCAACTGTCGATACTATTAGTCAATGGTTCCCAAAGTTGGATTTGCCCTCAATTCGTCATATTAAGCCTCAGCACCGGTATAATATGGATGAAGCAGGCATACAAGAAGGCCAGGGACTAAATGGACTAGTTCTAGGAAGCTCAGAACGTCGTTTTATTCAGAAAAAGGAGCCTGGTTCTAAAGCTTGAACGTCACTTATAGAGCGCATCTCAGCCGTGGGGAGAGCTCTTGATCCCCTCATTATATTGAAGGGAAAATCAGTACAACAACAATGGTTTCCGATTGATTTAAAGCCCTATAAAGGGTGGCATTTCACTGCTACAGATAATGGATGGATTACGAATGATACTGCCCTAGAATGGCTTAAAAAGGTCTTTATACCTCAGACAGCCCCCCCCCTCACCGGATGAGCCAAGACTCCTTATATTGGACGGGCATGGAAGTCATGAAACTACTGAATTTATGTATGAGTGCTTTAAGCACAACATACACCTCTTATTCCTTCCACCACATACGTCACACGTCCTACAGCCTCTTGATTTATCCGTATTCTCACCTCTCAAAAAAGCATACAGGCACTACCTCAATAAATTGGCCTCT